GTCCACTCACTTCAGGAGGAACTCGCACACACAGAGACCATCGCCCCGGGACAGAGTGTGGAACAAAAAAAAAACACACACACACAAATATCTGGGCCCTGTGATTGACTTTAAAAAAACACACTGAAGCTGTGTGCAGAAAAAAAAAGGGCACCAGTGTGTTCTGTGCCTTTGAAAGCCGTCACGTTTTTACACAGACACAGAATGTTCACTCTCTTTTACAGATGTTTTATCAGTTTGAGGAAAGTGAGTCAGGTCATTAAGCAGCCCCTCAGGCTGATGGGTGCGTCCCAGCTCAGTCCTGAGATTCTGTACATCGAGCAGGTCATTAGTATAAAAGTATTACACTATTTTACAGCTGCTGTTATCAATATTCCCTATGGTGCTGACTATAGGCTCTGCTCTGTCTGAGGCTTTATTAGACTTTAATCTGAGCTTTAGTTAAACACAATCTGAGCAGAGAGAACTATGGTTGGGCGCTATGGCTAAAAAGTAACATTAAAACGCACTGGAAGATTACAATTTTAATCAAAGCCAAAGCCGGGACTGTCGTCTTTCAGACAGGAGAAGGTTACAGTAGTTACAATTTTCTGTGTTGATGACGTAGGTAAAATAATAGATTAGTAATTTCAAAAGAGGGTTAGGCTGGATGTGGATGACGACTTCTGGTGTAGTTCCCAAGACTGGACATGCAATAAAACCGTGGATTCAGCAGCAGCGGACTTCACAACCTACCAAAGTTTTCCGTGGGGTCCGGACTCTAATCGCAGCTTCAGAGTCTCTCATGTGTGGCCGGTTTGAACTGTTGATCCGCCGAACATAATGGAAAGCTCTAATTATATCTAGTCATCCACATGTTTCCAAACGTCTTCCGGGTTTGTGGCGTAAGCGTGAATAGAGCCGATACATGCATCCCGAATTTCAAACTTCCGGTTATCACACAATCCATACTGGGAGTGATCCTCTGAAAAAGTGAGCATCAAACCTCTATGTTTGTTTTAGATACATATCACTTTTGTTTCTGGTTCTGATATTGTCATATTTTAGTTGTGGGATTCTGACATCGTAATTGTGTGGTTGTTGGATCCTAACAGCGGAAAACGGATCGAGAAATTTGTTTGCGAACTCCATAGATGCAAAAGAATGAGAACTTCGCACCTCAATTACTTGAGATGGGTGCGTTGGAGGAGAGGGAGCAGCCCAAGTCTGACGAAGGCCTAGTGCCGAAACGATGCGCGGTTTGTCCTAATAAATCTCACAATTTGCAAGTAAGACGGTGTGTGGGATTTTTCTTCATGAACTCCATAAATGCAAAAGGAATCAGATGTGTGTGACTCAAACCTCTGTTCAAACTGTTTCTCTTCCCAACAGAATTGAAAAATAGTGAAAGGTGAAGGCGATGGGCAGGATTGATCCACAGGAAGAACCAAAAAGGAAACATTTTGACTGTCTAAGAAATCATCCCGAGTTTACAGAGAACATTTTGTATGTGGAGCGACAACAAAGCAAAATCCCGATCCCTCACTCAAACTTAGTTACGAATTTAAAAAGTCAACGCCAAAGTGAAAGGCACTGACTGTTTACTAAGAAACACCTTCCACTGCAAAGAGACCAAGATGTGATGTTGCTGTAAAACCACAAGAACAAGAAAGTGCAGCTCAGTCTGTTTGTCTTCTGCTCCTCTACATTAACAAACGGGATTTTTCTTTGTTGGTGCGCCACATAGAAAATGTTCTCTGTAAACTCGGGATGATTTCTTAGGCAGACAAATGTTTCCATTTTGGTCCTTCCTGTGGATCAATCCTGCCCATCACTTTCACCTTTTATTATTTTTCGTTGGGAAGAGAAACAGTTTGAACAGAGGTTTGAGTCACACACATCTGATTCACTTTTACAGTTATGGAGTTTGCAAACTTACAAAACCCATTTCTCGAGTCGTTTTCCGCTGTTAGGATCCAACAACCACACAATTACAATGTCCGAATCCCAAAACTAAAATATGACAATATCAGAACCAGAAACAGAAGTGATATGGTTCAAAAGATCAACTTTGACAATAGACACATCCCACTGGGAAAACAAACATGGAGGTTTGATGCTCACTTTTTCGGAGGATCCTTCCCAGTATGGATTGTGCCATGACTGGAAGTCCAAAATTCGAGATGCATGTATTAGAAAAACATGAAACCCTGTCAAATGCACTTTAAGCTCAGTTATCAGCCCTTTTTAGTCCTGAGGGATTCTAGACCAGCAAATCTCATCAGGACTAGATCTGTTTTATTTATGAATGGAACTTGGCCTGAAAAGTTTGACAGACTCACTGGTCTCTGTCATGGAGGGAGTCACAGTTTTTTCCCTGCTTCCCTCTGCTGGCTTTTAAACGCTGGTGCAAAGTGTTGACTGCACTGACTTCTGATGAAAACACTTGGCTCATTACCAGAAGTGGGAGGTACTCAGTTACATTTGGGTCCAGTCAAGTGGTAACGGAGGGAATCGGGGGCAGATTTTTGACATTCAAATGTCTCTTATTCAAAAACTAGAGGAACTATTGAAATAAGTAAAGTATCAGAATGTAGGAAAGAGTTACACTCCAACAGGGTCAAGTTAAACCTGTGATATTCTTTCAAGTTGTTGACAAAAAATTTAAAAATTCATGTCGGTAACGGAGGGAATGAAATATGCAGCACTTTTTGGGCAATAAATCCAAACAGTGATAACTCTTGGTTCTCACTTCCATATCCTTAACAAACTGGTTTGAATATTTGCTTCATATAGTTTTCTACCATATGGTACAAGATTAGGTTGAAAAACCTCTTACTTTTTGAGTCATGAGATTTTTTATTAAGAAAGGTCATGGTAACGGAGGGAAAAGTAACAGAGGGAAAATTGTACAAACAAGTAGAAGGTGCAGGATTTTACATCATTTGTCAGTTTTTTTCTTCTGAATACTTTAATATTACTTCAAAATGAAAGGAAACTATTTCTATAAAATATGTCAGTCCTTCCAAGCAAATTTTTATCATTTTAAATACATTTTTTTTTAAAAAATCCTGTACCTTCATCAACAGTTCAAAGATGTAATAACACAAGATATGATAAAATACATCAGTTTATTTACATGATTTTTGGGTCTTTGAAATTTGGGAAATAGTTTTTGTTCCATGTTTCATACATGGTCTGTTTAAAACGGATGGAACTTTAGAACCAAAAATGGTACAGAAAAAAGGTCAACAGTTTCATAAACTAGAGTACATATGTATCTGTTCAATACATTTTTATATCAGATGCATTAACTTGAATTTTTGGCCTTGATGTTTACTTCTGCTTGATCGGGCCCATTTACTTAAAGTTGCATTGTGTAACTTTTCCAGTGGAGGGTTTGTCAAATGCTTTTCAGTGTGACATTAAACCTTTCTGTAATGGAGAGTTAGATTTCTACCCCTTCCTTTAAAACTACAAACTTTAAATTCGCAATCAGTTCCTGTTTTACATCTTCGTGTCCATGAAACAGCTTTGCCCTCTAATCTATTTTACAAATTATACGTGTTGTATCTGTAGCACTTTTGAATCTTTCCACTATGTATTTTTATATTGTGTATCTTTCTATGTATTGGTTATTGGGTCATTCGACGCCATTTCATCAAATTTCCAGAAAATCTCACGCATCATGTTTTTTTTTTTTATTTTGAATAAATTACAAAATAGTCCCTTACTATCATGTACCAACCGTGAGTTGGTAAAAAGTGTGAGTTTGGGCACTGGCCAATCAGCGAAGAGACAGACATTCTGTGTTGGCAACGATTCCCGAGATCAAGGATTTAAAGCCGGAACAAAGAGAATGTTTGGTGAATTTTATCAAGGGGAAAGACGTTATTGTTCTTCTTCCTACGGGATTTAGGAAAAGTTTAATATACCAGTTAACCCCGTTAGTGGCGCATTACATACGTCACGACCAAACAGCAGCGATTGGTTAAATGATAAAAAGTATCAATCAATCAATCAAACTATATTTGATAATAATAATGAATTATGCATCATTTTAATATAGTGCTTTTTTCGACACTCAAAGACGAATTTACGGAGCATTATTCATTCACTCCAGGCCCGGTGGTGGTAAACTACTACTGTAGCCACAGCTGCCCTGGGACAGACTGATGGAAGCGAGGCTGCCAATCTGCGCCATCAACCCCTCCGACCACCACCATCACTCACACACACACCACTTTCATACAAGGCAAGGAGGGTGAAGTGTCTTGCCTAAAGACACAACAACAATTTTTGTTTTGTTTTTTAATGACTGGCGCCTTCTGTGGCTCCTGATTTTCCCAGTGTCTCCATCCAAGTCCTGACCAGACCCGACCTGCTGAGTTTCTGAGATCTGACAGGATCAGACTCTGACAAACCAGCATGGCCACATAAACATTTATAGAGTGCTTTTCATATAAAAATGCAACACAAAGTACCCGCCTACCGTCGAGCAAATGAAATCTAAGGCTGCGAGGTCAGACGGTTTCTACGAAGTGAAACCAGCTGATGAATCAGGTTAATGCTGAAAAGCACCGAAGGGACAATTCTGCACAGTTTCTGTTTATCCAAGTCACACTCCTGCCCCCGAAGTTTTGAAGATTTAAAACATGTTTGTAAGTTTTGTAAAATTAAAAGAAATGTCAAACATAATATGCTATGTATGAACTTTGTTTTTGTGTTAATTAAAGTATTTAATATTGTGTATGTCATGTAAATAAGTTGCTTATAAATGTAGATGGAACTGTTGAAGTGTTGGAAATGTTTACTTTGTGTGAAAAGGGGACAGATATTACAAGTCTTCGCTTCTTTCTGCTCCTGCATGAAACATAATTATTTTAAACTATTTAACTATTTTTTTCTATTCATCTTTGATGAATGAAATATTTTTTTTTCAAAAGGAAACAAAAAAAGATTTCTTCTGTGTGGTTCACCTTCTCGCCGCTAGAGCGCGCACGTTCACCTCACAAAATGACATGGTCCTTGCGTCACTTCCGCTCAACATGGCGTCCTCCGCAGGGGAAGACAGCGTGAGCGACTCTCAAAAGAATAAAAACAACAAAAAGAACCAAAATCAAGGTGAGTTTCGCGTCTTTTCTAACTGTTTATCTCTTCGTGCGCAGGCGGAGCTCATTCACAAGGAAATAGTGTTCAATAAAAGTCTGTATTTGAGTGTTTACGTTCGCGCACGTTCAGCCAAAACACGCCGCTGCTTCATTTACGTCTTTAAATCTTATTTTAATTATAAAACTCACAATTTACGCCTTTTATCCGTAAACTGTGTATGTCTGTCCTGTTCAGAGTTTGGTTCATTTGCTCGTCGTTTACACAGACATTACCTGTTGAACGTAAAACACTTAAGATCAGTTTTTATTTTTTTAATTCGTGTCTTCGTAAGTTCACTTTATTTCTTAACAAATATTGACACAATTATCAGAGAAATCTCTTTTTTAATTGAACACAATCTTACTTAACAGTTGTAGAGAATAAGTGTCAACATTGTAAAACACGCTAGAGGGCGCACTTACATCAAATATAAAATACAAAAAAAACAAAACACCGAGCGTCTCAAAAACAACAGGAAACTAATAATAATTAGTACTGCTGTTACTGGTAGAACTGGTACTACTACTACTACTACTACTATAATAATAATGAAATAAATTATTGTTGTAATTATTGTAATTGGTACTAGAGACAATAATAAGTTTTATTGTTGTAATAATAACGACAACAAATGCCTTTAGGGCTCTACTTTGAGATTGTGATGGATGGTGAAAGATGATAAAAGGAAATGATGATGGACTAATTATTATTAGTTTATAAAATTAGTTTAAGTATAGTGACTAGAAATGTTTATTTAAAAAATGGCAGAGGAAAAAAATAAAGAGTGAGAAACAGAAAAGGAATTTCAGTTATGAATTGGCCGTAACGTGTCAATGTAGGGAGGCCTAGCGGTGTGTTTGTGTTGCACTACCACATCATTTTTGTTTAATTTAACCAAATTTGTGTGGGTGTTGCTTTAGGGTCATTCCACGCCATTTCATCAAATTTCCAGAAAATCTCACGCATCATGTTTTTTAAAAATTTTTTAAAAAATTACCAGCTGGTCCCTTACTATCAAGTACCAACCGTGTGAAGTTTTAGTGATTTTTGATCAATACTTTTTAAGTTACAGCTCATTTAGTGAGGGGAGTATGTGTCAATTTACAGGCCCAAAATGCACGTCATTTTTTCTCGGGCTGAAATTTTGTAGACTTATACTCCTCTATTCTGTGTTCAAATAACATCTATCCAAAGTTTGGTAGAGGTAAAGTTTGTCATTTTATATGAACTTAAAAATGAAAAAAAAAAAAAAAACTTGTGTATTTCCGTGGCGTGCCATTTTTAGCCCCTTTTTAAACATTTGGTGATTTTTATTTTGTTTTTAACAGTTCTAATACATATCTTGATTCTCAAACAAATTTAAGGGTCTCTAACACCTACAAGTGGGTTTAAAAAGTGGCCTTTAAAGTTGTTGTTCAGTTTTAGTGCTTTTAAAGTTCATGTTTTGTGATTAAATCAGTTTTTTGGCACTGTCTAAATCCACATCTTTACAGGGACATGGTTTACTTCATAATTTTATCTTTGAAAATATGAAATGAGCAGTAGAATGTTGAAAGGCTCTGTGTGTGTCTGTGTGCAGTGGACGAGAGCGAGCTGCTGACGGTGCCTGATGGATGGAAAGAGCCGACGTTCACTAAAGACGATAATCCCCGCGGTCTGTTGGAGGAGAGCAGCTTCGCCACGCTCTTCCCCAAATACAGAGAGGCGTATCTGAAGGAGTGCTGGCCCCTGGTGGAGAGCGCCCTGCATGACAGCGTGAGTATCATAGTTGTGTATTAGGTAAAACTGACTCTTGTGAAGCTTTAAGTCGTGTTATAATGTTGTTACCTCTTCAAAAACACCTAGACCTGGAGTCGTGTTTTGTTTCATTCACATGTTTGAGTAAAACTTTATTATTAGTCTCTCTACATCTCAAAAGCTCAAAATGCTCTGTTACAACTTGTGATGTCACGAAGCGAATACCGGCTCGAGCGTCCCCCTGGTTTTAAAGTCCCAGCATGAGGGTCCCATTCTCCTTGCGCCGCCTTCTTATGGGCGACTCATGGGTAACTGCTGTGCCCGGGAGCGGGGGGATGTTCTCACTGGTCTTTAGTCAGCTGCGTCACACTCTGTGATATGTTGAGTTAGAAATTCAGCTTCTATATCGTAATAAAATGAAATGTGAATGCAGCGAGACCAAATGTTGGACAGTGCAACACAAGAAACTTAGAAGGCTACAGAATTAGTTCAAGAAATCATTCAGAATCACTTTTAGGAAGGTCTTGATTATCCTGAATGATGATCCTGAAATAGATGTGGTACTCACTCCTACTCACCAGAAGTGATCGAAAAGTTTTTTAATGTGTATATAGATTAATGAACTTAGTTTCATAGAGGGTCCAATTCAAGGGAACTTTCAGCTGATTTCCCATGAAGCAGTAGTTTTCAAGTGTACAGCTTTTTTTCTTTTTTTTTTTTTTTTTGACCTTTTGTTCAGTAGAGATTGGCAATTCCAGATCTGGAGCACTTCCTGTATTGCCACATGACATCACAAAGTGGAACGGAGTGTTTTCAGTTTGAGAGAAGAACTCGGCCTAAATGTGCAGGTTTGTGTGTTAAACATGTGAATGAAACAAAACACAACTCCAGCTCTGTTTGTGATGAGGAAACAAAATATAACAGGTCATTAAAACAGTTATCTCTTTTATTACGGATGAGATTACATTATTATTATTTTTTAAATCAGCACATAAAGGCGACTCTGGACCTGATCGAGGGCAGCATGTCCGTCTGCACCACAAAGAAAACGTTTGATCCGTACGCCATCGTCAAAGCACGAGACCTGATCAAACTGTTGGCCCGGAGTGTCCCGTTTGAACAGGTGACCCACCGACACATCACAAATAAACCATTTATTACATCTGTACAGTTGTAGGGAGTATTATCTGTTACATTGTGTGGAACAGATAATACTCAACTACAACTGTACAACAACTCACCTTTATATAACAGATAATACTCCCTACAACTGTACAACAACTCGGCCTTATGTAACAGATAATACTCCCTACAACTGTACAGCAACTCACCCTTATGTAACAGATAATACTCCCTACAACCGTACAACAACTCACCTTTATGTAACAGATAATACTCCCTACAACTGTACAACAACTCACCTTTATGTAACAGATAATACTCCCTACAACTGTACAACAACTCACCCTTATGTAACAGATAATACTCCCTACAACTGTACAACAACTCACCCTTATGTAACAGATAATACTCCCTACAACTGTACAGAAACTCACCCTTATGTAACAGATAATACTCCCTACAACTGTACAGAAACTCACCCTTATGTAACGGATAATACTCCCTACAATTGTACAACTCACCCTTATGTAACAGATAATACTCCCTACAACTGTACAACAACTCACCTTTATGTAACAGATAATACTCCCTACAACTGTACAACAACTCAGCCTTATGTAACAGATAATACTCCCTACAACTGTACAACAACTCAGCCTTATGTAACAGATAATACTCCCTACAACTGTACAACTCACTCTTATGTAACAGATAATACTCCCTACAACTGTACAACAACTCAGCCTTATGTAACAGATAATACTCCCTACAACTGTACAACAACTCACCTTATGTAACAGATAATACTCCCTACAACTGTACAAAACTCACCTTATGTGACAGATAATACTCCCTACAACTGTACAAACTCACCCTTATGTAACAGATAATACTCCCTACAATTGTACAACTCACCCTTATGTAACAGATAATACTCCCTACAACTGTACAACAACTCACCTTTATGTAACAGATAATACTCCCTACAACTGTACAACAACTCACCTTTATGTAACAGATAATACTCCCTACAACTGTACAACAACTCACCTTTATGTAACAGATAATACTCCCTACAACTGTACAACAACTCACCTTATGTAACAGATAATACTCCCTACAACTGTACAACTCACTCTTATGTAACAGATAATACTCCCTACAACTGTACAACAACTCAGCCTTATGTAACAGATAATACTCCCTACAACTGTACCAACCTCTTGAGTTTGTCTAAGTGTAGTTCAGTTGTAAATCTTGTCTCTTCAGTCTGTGTTTTGTTCCTTGTTCAGGCGGTTCGGATCCTTCAGGACGACGTCGCCTGTGACATCATAAAAATCGGGACGTTGGTGAGAAACAGAGAGAGGTTTGTGAAGAGGAGACAGAGGCTCATCGGCCCCAAAGGATCCACACTCAAGGTTTCACCACTTTCACTTTAAGATATTTCACATTTCCCCGTCAAAAAGCAAAGTCAGTTGAAAATTGGGAAATAAATTTTGGAGCCTGTTTCTCTTCTCAAAGATTGTCACTTCTTTTAGCTGAAGTTGAGCTCTTTCTATCGTATAAACACGTCTGATTTTAGAAATTTTGTAGAAAATTTGACTCAAAAAGTAAAAAAAAAAAAAATGAATTTTTCACTGTATTCCCCCATTCTAACTCAAACATGTTTTGTTTTTTTTAAATAAGAAAAAATACAGTTTAATTGAAATTTAAGACTGATAATTGTGCTTAAATCTCCTGTATTTGTACATTTAAAGGTGCACTATGTAACTTTTTGGTCGAGTGTTGGTTGGAGGTCCGTCACTGACCTGTAACTTGGTCTGGTTTGGTCTCCATGAAGATAAAAAGGTTTAATGCCATACTGTGAAACATTCCAGACAAAAGCTTTTGACGGACCCTCCACCAGAAAAGTTACACAATGCACCTTTAGCAGTAACATAGAAGGTCTAACCTAGACATGTTAGGCCCAGGCCTGGGGGCCAAATTTGTATATTTTACAAATTTTATATAATTATATTTGTCCCGTGAGATCATATCAAACATGTATTAGAGCTGCCCACCCTCCACAGATAGACTACAGAGACATTATTTATTTAAAATGTTGTTATTGTTTTACATTATGATTGTTCTTGATTCAAGTGTTTAAGGACAACTATTATTAAACATTTATTTTAATAAGAAAAGTTTAACATTATAGATCTCGAAAGAAGAGAAAACATGCAGATGTTGCTGAAATTTTTCAATAAATATTTAGTTTGGCCCACGACTTACCCTGCGTTCGATTTTCTTCCGACTCCCACTTGGAGCTCGGATTTGACGTCACGTCCGAGCTTGAAGCGTATTATTATGTTTGACGTGTCCCTTTGCAAACTCAGGGACGTTAACGTCCGATAAATCAAGTATTTGTTCAGTATTGGCCTCACCACAACACGACTAACAAACCCACAGACAGAAATACAGACGCAGTAAAGTTCTGCAGTGATACAAGCAGTGTTGAGAAGTAACAGATTACATGTACTGGAGTTTCGTAATCAGAGTAATAATTATGAGTAACTGTATTCAGTTACAGTTACTGTTTCAGTGAGTGGTAATTGGATTACAGTTACTTTGTTGAAATAAATGGATTTCAGGGCGGTATTTTCCTGTTTTCACATTTTGGGCTAAATCCCTTTTTTTTTTTTTCTGTAATTCCACTCATTGCCGGGCACTAAATCAGGTCTAAAACCAGGACTAAACCAGGACTAAACCAGGACTAAACCAGGACTAAAACTAGATCTAAACTAGATCAAAGACGGGTCTAAAACAGGACTCAAACAGGATTTAACAGGACTAAATCATGCTGCGCGGACGTGTCTCCTCGTCTTCTATCAATCATATTTTTTATTTGGTCAAGTAAAGTCTGGGCTTTTTATTTTCTTTTAGCAGACAAAACATCTTATGTTACGATATCTTAATCTTTGCTTCTCTACAGAAAATCAAGTAATCCAAAGTATTCAGATTACGTTACTCACTTTATGTAATTTAATGGATTACGTTACAAACTACATTTTGGGGTCTGTAATCTGTAGGGGAATACATTTTAAAAGTAAACTTCCCAACACTGGATACAAGTGACTGAAACTGTCATTTAAACACCAAAGTGTCAAACACAATGAAAACACTTCATATTTACACGTCACAGTGGGTGGAGCATCTTGGATTCTGACTCAGAATCTTTGCTCGGTCGACTTTTTCCGCCACCGAGTCGCGCTGTCCCAGGTAAAGGGGCGTGTCACTCGTGTCGCTGGGCAACTTCCTCAGAAAACCGATTCTGAAGGATAATTAAAACGTCTCTGTTTTTAATTTTTCCCTCTGTGAATTTGAGTTTGGTCTAACCCGTCGTATCTGTTTTGTTCAGGCTCTGGAGCTGTTGACAAACTGTTACGTGATGGTTCAGGGAAACACGGTCTCTGCTCTGGGGCCCTTCAACGGACTCAAGGAGGTCAGCACTCACTCTCTTACATCGTACAGTTTTTTACTCTTTGTTATTTTATTATATTGTGATGTCTGAGCTCCTGTGTCCAAATAATTCCCCTCAATAAATCAATAAAGTTTCTCATAAAATCTCCAAAAAGTTTATTCACAAAAGTTTAACGTAATCTTTTCTGTCAGTGACCAGACCCATTAACTTGCTTCATTACAACAAAAACCTACATTTTAACTGTTTATTTTAGCCGCCCCCGTCTGTATTAAATAATATTGGCCTATAGAATGTTGTGATGTTATCTGAATCTGCATTTAAACATGTTTAAAACAGCAAATTAGATAATAATAATGTTTTTACCGTTGCTAGAGTCATGAAGCAGCAGCTGTTTTGTTCTTGTGTTCTCTCGGTGCAGGTGCGAAAAGTGGTGATGGACACAATGAAAAACATCCACCCCATTTACAACATAAAGGTACAGTGCTCTTTTAAACTCACGTCTTAAACACACAAGTACTTCCTGTTAGAAAACGCTTCATATTTTAAATCTGCTGTTGAGCCCAATGAAGATTTTTCCATCCTTGTTCTTGATCCACTGAAAGAAACTCAACACTGGAGCTGAGGGCTGCAGCAGGATTTAATAGGCGAGTTTCACCACCCGCAGAACATGCAAACACACACGGAGCAGACAGCGACCGCACAGCGAAAAACACCCACAGCCACACGTTTTTATTTATTTATTTAATAGGGACAGTGCATATTAATGAGCATCTACAACACTGCAGTGTAAATATGACAGATTATAGCAAGAATGTTCATTTCCATCTGTCGTCCCTCGGCAGGTAACACCACAAACTTAACAGAAAAAACAAAAGTGACAGTTATACAATAAAAGTGTCCACAAGTCTGGTTTTCCTTTAGCCGCTGTTTCAAGTAGGACTTGAAAGTGGCAAGAGTTGGAGTTTCTCTTATTGACAGTGGCAGACTGTTCCAAAATGTTGTGCCTCTGACTGAGAGACACATTGTCCCAGTGTTGTGCGTCTGTGTGGGACGTCACAGTTCCCCCGGGCTGTGGCCCTAGTTCCCACTGACGGTCTTTACTTTAATAAAATCCAGTAATGGAGGAGGGGCAAGTCCATGCAAAACTTTATAGATAATAATTTTATTGGTTTTAAATATGGATGTTTTAAAATTAAGAAGATTATACTTATCTAAAATAGTGCAGTGGTGAAATGAGAATGGTTTCTTGTCCAGTATTTTTATTGCTTTATAAAAAGTGATTCGATGGGTTTGAGTTTTGTGCCAGCAGCAAGTGACCATGTGGTTATATAATACTCTATATGAGACAGAATCATGGAAAAACATTCGTGCCGCATATAGAGTCATAAAAGATCTTACTCGTCTAAAATTCACTACGTTAAAATGAACAGTTTTTGTGAGGCGCTTAATGTGTTTCTTAAATGTCAATGTGTTTCTTAAATGTCAATGTCAGGTCCAACGTCAGTCCCAGGTATTTAAACTCTTTGACGAGGCTGAGTTCCAGCCCGTCCAGAAAGATACTGGACCGCTGTCGTCACTCCACGCTGACACGGAACAGAGGAACGAACCGAAAAAGCAAGTGCAACGTGCCACTTCTAGACACGACTGAACAACTGAGTCACTGCGAACACGCGGACAATCCGTTGGTCCCAGACACACCCTCCCCTACACGCCACAACTGAACAAAGCCCAGAGTCACCGTGAACGAACAAACAAACAAAACCACTCACCCATCACACTGTTGTTTCCTTTAATGCGCCCTATAGTCTGGTGCGGTTTATTTGTGAAAAAAAGTTTGAAAATAGACCATTTAATGACAGTGCCCCTTATAATCCAGAACACCCTGTAGTGCGGAAAATACAGTATCTTTATTTTTTGACATGTTGTGGAAATTATCTGTAAAATAATACCAAAACATACATACTGTAACAAGTGCTTGCTTATTACTAGGTATTAAAAGTGTAACAAATGTGTAATAGATGTAATTGTAATAACTGTGTAATGACTTGTTATAACCGTGTAATAACTGTTATGACTACTATGTGTAATTAGCGGAGTTGAATGATCAGAAGATCCTAGGTAAGGCTACAGGAGGGCAGGGGCAGTAAATTGAGACATTGGATTAGTTGGAAAATGAATAATGTGTATTATACTGGGAAAAAGTGAGATAACAAAATATATCAGTTGCAGCAAACAAAAATCAAGCAACTCAGTTAAACGTCCTTGCGAACCGGGTCTGTTTGCCCAGGGTGGAAAATAGAGTCCAAGCTACTTCAGAGTCCAGTATTAATTATTTTGAGGGGGTATGATGTCCATTAAGCGCAGTTGACTGAATAGTAAAGTAGTGGAGGTAGGTGGAGTAGGTGGGAGATGGAGGACAGGCGGTTAGCCTCCTACCAGACCGAAGCTCTCTCAAAAGGACAGTTCCTCGCTCGCCATCAAATTAAACCCAGGTTTGGGGACCTGGCCTGTGTGCACATTAAAAGAAAGGCCTCTTAGAACATAATAATATTTACAGTTAGCATTAACATTAACATTACAAGAGTTCATAAATCACAATCTGTCACAAGATTACAAACCGATCACTTGGAGCACATGTTAGCATTGGCATAGGCTACATAGGGCCCCGACAAAATGGCTGACCTTATGTTTAGCATTAGGTTTGTGGTAGGTGGTTTGTTTGTCCACACAACAACGCAACACCAGCGTTCTCAGATTTCTCCACTCTGGAACCCGTTTTTGCCCAAAACACTGGCTCCATGTGGACGAAAGGCCAAAACGAGTACAAACTTCACCGTTTCAACCAAAAAATGTTGTCATCTGGACAGGCCTAAATGTCTGTGATAGTAAAAGTCTTCGTTAAACCACTTCTTGTGCAAAGTTCATATGAAACACAAACGTTTTAATCATCAAAACAGTGAAAATGTCAAATGTGTCACATAAACAAGTTTCTGTCCTCTATACAAGCAACAAAACTGTAGCTGTAACAAAATAATTTATCAAAATATACCAAAAAAATACGATATATCGATACAGCAGCCCACGATAGCAATACTGTATCATCACATTAAGCAACACACCATATCGATATTTTGAAATTTTTGCACACGCCTAGTACATCCCTCCGTCTGACTCACTGGAGCCCCATTCAAACGCTCACCTTATCTCCTGTTTTCACCATTATTTTGTGTTGGAAATTACAATACTGTCTAAAAAAAGTTTTTAAAATAATCATGTACTGAGCATCAAGTCTGTTCTTTAGTATCGAAATAAGAGTTTGATGTTTCAGTATCCTAACGGCACTTTTTTCTGGTACATTCTGTTTTTTCTGCACTGACTTTCTGTTTTCCTGTGTTTCAGACACTGATGATCAAACGGGAGCTGTCCAAAGACCCTGAGCTGCGGAGTCAAAGCTGGGAGCGTTTTCTGCCCAAATTCAAACACAGAAATCTGACGAAGCGAAAAGAACCGAAGAAGAAGAGCGTGAAGAAGGAGTACACACCGTTCCCGCCTCCTCAGCCAGAGAGCAAGGTACGACTGCAGAGAAACATGCAGGATTTTTCTGAGTGTTTTCTATTTAACATTAAAGGTTCATCTCGACCCTCCGAGGTTCTTGGTCTCGTCTCGACCCTCGGAGGTTCTCGGTCTTGTCTTGACCCTCAGAGGTTCTTGTTCTTGTCTCGAACTAGAACCTCTGAGGGTCGAGAGGTTCTCGGTCTCGTCTCGACCCTCGGAGGTTCTCGGTCTTGTGTCGATCCTCAGATGTTCTTGTTATTGTCTCGACCCTCCGTGGTTCTCTGTTTTGTCTCGACCCTCAGAGGTTCTCGGTCTCGTCTCGACCCTCAGAGGTTTTTGATTTTGTCTCGACACTCAGAGGTTCTCGGTCTCGTCTTGACCCTCAGAGGTTTTTGATTTTGTCTCGACCCTCAGAGGTTCTCGGTCTCGTCTCTGCCCTCAGAAGTTCTCGGTCTTGTCTTGGTCTCAGGACTCTATGGTCTCAGACTGGTCTTGGTCTCGATTAGTGCGATCTTGACTACAACGTGTGTGTGCATTTGCAGGTGGATCAGGAGTTGGCCTCTGGAGAGTTCTTCCTCAGAGAAAGTGTCAAACGACGAAAGAAAATGGAAGAGATCAAGGTCAGTGCCTCAAATTTTAATTCACAAATATATCATTTCAATTAGATTTTTTCATCTTGTTTTTATAATCGTTGTTTTGGATTTTTTTAGGTGAAACAGGCTGAAGCTCTGACCAAAAAACAAGAAGAGAGAAACAAGGCCTTCATTCCTCCAAAAGAGAAACCGCTGATAAAGAAAACCAACAAAGGTACATTTATACACACAAAAAAGTCTCTCTGTTAAATTAAAGTTCTACTATTAAGTTTTAATTATATTGAAATTCCTTATATTTTTTGTTTTGTTTGTTTACCCAGTTGTGTGTGTGTTTATTTTTAATTGTCCAGTAGCGATTTCTCAAACCTGAAACAGATTTTTGTCGATAAGTGATGTTTATCAATCTTTATCATAATTTAAAATCTGAGGCAAGATATAAAAAGTAATAACACTGCAGGAAGGTTTAAATGAACTTGACGAGAATAAAGTACAGAAAGATAATAACGTGTATGTATATTAGAGCATAACTGTTACCTTTTTTTCCCCTTGTTATTTTTTATACTTACCGTAATTTCTGAACTATAAGTCGCACGAGCCAAAAAATGCGCAATGAAGAAGAAAAAAAACACATATAAGTGGCACTTTTTGGAGAAATGTATTTTATAAAATCAGAGACCAGGAATCGACATTTCCTGTTGAAAGTCCAGTTGTAGTAAAAACAATAGAAGAGAGAACAACAGACTGTTAACGTCACATATGAACAGTTCTTCAGATAAATTATAACATAAACAACAGAACAGAACATGTTTAACAAACTGTCCATCTCACTCCAAATCACTAAATCCATTAAAGTCTTCATCCTCGGTGTCACTTCTGAACAACTCGACCTCGACCTCCGGAGGTAAACAGAGCGACGCAAACTCTTCTGTGTCGCTGTCGTCAGACTCAGCATTCAGTTCCAGTTAGAATTATTCTGGCCTTTTTGGTGAAATCCAATGTTATTGCGACGTCGTTCACATTTCCAATTAAATGCTTCTCCAGTGTGAACTTCAAGTGTCCCGCATGTGCACTGGAGACATGATGACGTCAACCGCAGCGAGCGTGCTCTGTGTTTACAGAAGTTGTCCAAACATGGACGCGAGCTTTGAGCACCTATAGATTTTTTATTTTTTTTTAGTTTTTATTTATTTAAAAGGGACAATGCATATTCATGAACATATACTTGTAAATACGCCAGAATTAGCCCAAAGGCGACTTTTCATCTGTCGTCCCTGGCAGGTCAGAGAGATAGAGACATAAAACATAAGAACATAAAACGTGTCACAATAGACAAACACACAGGCATGACACACAACACTGACATTTACACAGGAGCAGAACATTAGTGGTTACAGATCTGGTTTCTCTTAAGCCGTCGTTTCAGATTAGTTTTAAATGATCTGAATGTGGTGGAGTCTCTTATAGCAGCTGGGATGTTGTTCCTTGACTGATCACACCTGTTGACTGAACGTTGTGCGTCTATAGGGTTTTGCACAGTCGCCTCTGGTCGAGGCTCTTGTTCCCTGACCACTAGTGCTGGACCTGGGCTTAATGAACTCACCCAGAGCTGGTGGAGCGAGTCCATTTAAGATTTTGTAGACTGAGCAGGCGAGTTTAAGTTTTTGAAAATTTCCAAAACTTAAGATATTATACTTCTGTAGTATGAGACAATGATGAAACGATAAAGATTTACTATCAAACATCTTTAACACTTTTTAAAAAAAGTGATTCTATTATTTTTAAGGTTGTCATGTCAGTGACCAGTTAGTAATGCAGTGTTCAATATGAGAGAGAATCATGCTGTGGAGAAGCATTTTAGCTGCATTTTCTGGCAGTGATGATCTAATTTGCCTAAAATTGTGAATATTAAAACAATTAAAGTTCCTCTCGTACCGGAGCCAGAACATGAACAATTTACTTGTTTTAAGGAGGAGATTGAGAAGGAGAAGGACGAGGTTTTTGGTCGTGGTGTTTTGTGGTTCAGTCCGTTGAAAGGAACATGTGGATGTGGAGACGGAGCCGTGAGTGGTGATGTGCTTCACTTCAGTGACATGGAGTTCATTAACAATTTTCGTGTGATGAGAAGAACGTTTGTGAACATTTGTCCCGTGTTGATAACGTGTAGGTCGAATGAATGTGCCTTGACTGTTCAGACTGAAGTCGCATGTCAAAAGATCAGATATGTATCAGTTTCAGGAGCACATATCCAAGTGTCCTGGGTCACATTTGAAAAAATCAGATCTGTCATTAAAAGATCAGATACAGGTCACACAGGGGCCACTTCAGGCTGCAGTCTGAACGCAGCCTTAGTTGGTCATTTTTAGAATTGTATCTGGTGTTTTTGTCCCACATCATGGGTACGATGTTGGTCTTAATTTTTACATAAGTGGTCTTAAAAAGTCTTTTCAGGTTCGTCAAACCTGGGGATACCCTGACATATATCATGTACTAATTATGAACTGTTTGCACGCCTGAACAAACAACGGCTTTAACCAAACAAACCTGTCCACATGAATCTGTCCTGTGTGAATGCAGCAACATGAAGTGTAAATATGTAACTAGTGTCTGGATGTGATTGTGACTGAGACTGAACTATAGTTTTACTTATTGGTTGACTGGATGACTGATCGCATCAGTAAACATTCTATTGTATTTTACTGGCATGTGCTCCATTTACGACTCAACCTGTCCAGGGTCTGAAGGTGGAAATGAACAATTTTGCCGTAACCTGCACAAACACACGACCTCTTTGTCCAATCCAAAAAAGATATTTTTCTTGCTTTGGAGTGTGTGTGGTAGTGTGTGTGGTAGTGTGTGTGTGTGTGTGTGGTAGTGTGTGTGGTAGTGTGTGTGGTGTGTGTGGTAGTGTGTGTGTGTGTGTGTGTGTGTGTGTGTGGTAGTGTGGGTGTGTGTGTGGTAGTGTGTGTGGCGTAGTGTGTGTGTGTGTGTGTGTGTGTGTGGTAGTGTGTGTGGTAGTGTGTGTGGTAGTGTGTGTGGTAGTGTGTGTGGTAGTGTGTGTGTGGTAGTGTGTGTGGTAGTGTGTGTGGTAGTGTGTGTGTGCGTAGTGTGTGTGCGTAGTGTGTGTGGTAGGTAGTGTGTGTGGTAGTGTGTGTGGTAGTGTGTGTGGTAGTGTGTGTGGTAGTGTGTGTGGTAGTGTGTGTGGTAGTGTGTGTGGTAGTGTGTGTGGCGTAGTGTGTGTGGTAGTGTGTGGTGTGGTAGTGTGTGGTAGTGTGTGTGTGTGTGTGTAGTGTGTGTGGGTAGTGTGTGTGTGTGGTAGTGTGTGTGGTAGTGTGTGTGTGTGTGTGTGGTAGTGTGTGTGTGTGTGTGTGTGTGTGTGGTAGTGTGGTGTGTGTGTGTGGTAGTGTGTGTGGTGGTAGTGTGTGTGGTAGTGTGTGTGGTAGTGTGTGTGGTGTGTGTGTGTGTGTGTGTGTGTGTAGTGTGTGTGGTGGTGTGTGTGGCGTAGTGTGTGTGGTAGTGTGTGTGGTAGTGTGTGTGGTAGTGTGTGTGTGTGTGTGTGGTAGTGTGTGTGTAGTGTGTGTGGTAGTGTGTGTGGTATGTGTGTGTGTGTGTGTGTGTGTGGTAGTGTGTGTGTGGTAGTGTGTGTGTGTGTGGTAGTGTGTGTGTGGTAGTGTGTGTGGTGTGTGTGTGGTGTGTGTGTGTGTGTGTGGTAGTGTGTGTGTGGTAGTGTGTGTAGTGTGTGTGGTAGTGTGTGTGGTAGTAGTGTGGTGTGTGTGGTAGTGTGTGTGGTAGTGTGTGTGTGGTAGTGTGTGTGGTAGTGTGTGTGGTAGTGTGTGTGGTAGTGTGTGTGGTAGTGTGTGTGTGGTAGTGTGTGTGGTGTAGTGTGTGTGGTAGTGTGTGTGGTAGTGTGTGTGGTAGTGTGTGTGTGTGTGTGTGGTAGTGTGTGTGTAGTGTGTGTGTGTGTGTGTGGTAGTGTGTGTGTGGTAGTGTGTGTGGTAGTGTGTGTGGTAGGTGTGTGTGTGGTAGTGTGTGTGGTGTGTGTGTGGTAGTGTGTGTGGTAGTGTGTGTGGTAGTGTGTGTGGTAGTGTGTGTGTGGTAGTGTGTGTGTGTAGTGTGTGTGTGGTAGTGTGTGTGTGGTAGTGTGTGTGTGTGTGGTAGTGTGTGTGTAGTGTGTGTGGCGTGTGTGGTAGTGTGTGTGGTAGTGTGTGTGTGGTAGTGTGTGGTAGTGTGTGTGGTAGTGTGTGTGGTAGTGTGTGTGGTAGTGTGTGGTGTGTGTGTGGTAGTGTGTGTGTGTGTGTGTGTGTGGTAGTGTGTGTGTGGTAGTGTGTGTGTGGTAGTGTGTGTGCTTGTGTGTGGTAGTGGTGTGTGTGGTAGTGTGTGTGTGTGTGGTAGTGTGTGTGTGGTAGTGTGTGTGTGGTAGTGTGTGTGGTATGTGTGTGTGTGTGTGGTAGTGTGTGTGGTAGTGTGTGGTAGTGTGTGTGTGTAGTGTGTGTGTGGTAGTGTGTGTGTGGTAGTGTGCTGTGGTAGTGTGTGTGGTAGTGTGTGTGTAGTGTGTGGTAGTGTGTGTGGTAGTGTGTGTGTGTGTGGTGTGTGTGTGTAGTGTGTGTGTGTGTGTGTGGTAGTGTGTGTGTGTGTGTGTGGTAGTGTGTGTGTGGTAGTGTGTGTGTGTGTGGTAGTGTGTGTGTGGTAGTGTGTGTGGTAGTGTGTGTGTGTGTGGTAGTGTGTGTGTGTGTGTGGTAGTGTGTGTGGTAGTGTGTGTGGCGTGTGTGGTAGTGTGTGTGCGTAGTGTGTGTGGCGTAGTGTGTGTAGTGTGTGTGTGGTAGTGTGTGTGTGGTAGTGTGTGTGTGGTAGTGTGTGTGTGTGTGTGTGGTAGTGTGTGTGTGGTAGTGTGTGTGTGTGTGTGTGTGTAGTGTGTGTGGTAGTGTGTGTGGTAGTGTGTGTGTGTGTGGTAGTGTGTGTGTGTGTGTGTGGTAGTGTGTGTGGTGTGTGTGTGTGTGTGTGTGGTAGTGTGTGTGTAGTGTGTGTGGTAGTGTGTGTGGTGTGTGTGTGGTAGTGTGTGTGTGGTAGTGTGTGTGGTAGTGTGTGTGGTAGTGTGTGTGGTAGTGTGTGTGTGGTAGTGTGTGTGTGGTAGTGTGTGTGTGTGGTAGTGTGTGTGTGGTAGTGTGTGTGGTAGTGTGTGTGTGGTAGTGTGTGTGGTAGTGTGTGTGGTAGTGTGTGTGGTAGTGTGTGTGTGTGTGTGGTAGTGTGTGTGGTAGTGTGTGTGGTAGTGTGTGTGTGTGTGTGTGTGTATGTGGTAGTGTGTGTGGTAGTGTGTGTGTGGTAGTAGTGTGTGTGGTAGTGTGTGTGTAGTGTGTGTGTGGTATGTGTGTGTGTGTGTGGTAGTGTGTGTGTGTAGTGTGTGTGGTAGTGTGTGTGGTAGTGTGTGTGTGGTAGTGTGTGTGGTGTGTGTGTGGTATGTGTGTGTAGTGTGTGTGGTAGTGTGTGTGTGGTAGTGTGTGTGGTAGTGTGTGTGTGGTAGTGGTAGTGTGTGTGGTAGTGTGTGTGGTAGTGTGTGTGGTAGTGTGTGTGTGGTAGTGTGTGTGTGGTAGTGTGTGTGGTAGTGTGTGTGGTAGTGTGTGTGGTAGTGTGTGTGTGGTGGTGTGTGTGTGGTAGTGTGTGTGTGGTAGTGTGTGTGTGTGTGTGGTAGTGTGGTGTGTGTGTGGTAGTGTGTGTGTGTGTGGTAGTGTGTGTGTGGTAGTGTGTGTGTGGTAGTGTGTGTGGTAGTGTGTAGTGTGTGTGGTAGTGTGTGTGGTAGTGTGTGTGGTAGTGTGTGTGGTAGTGTGTGTGTGGTAGTGTGTGTGTGGTAGTGTGTGTGGTAGTGTGTGTGTGTGTGGTAGTGTGGTGTGTGTGGTAGTGTGTGGTAGTGTGTGTGGTAGTGGTGTGTGTGGTAGTGTGTGTGTGTGTGTGTAGTGTGTGTGGTAGTGTGTGTGTGTAGTGTGTGTGGTAGTGTGTGTGTGGTAGTGTGTGTGTGGTAGTGTGTGTGTGTGTGTGGTAGTGTGTGTGTGGTAGTGTGTGTGTGGTAGTGTGTGTGTGGTAGTGTGTGTGGTAGTGTGTGTGGTAGTGTGTGTGGTAGTGTGCTGTGGTCCAAAGCAAGAAAAATATTTGATCGAGGCTTTTTTTGCCGAAACATTATTTTGAAAATAAAAAAGCTTTTGGACATTGGCCATCCGAGTGTGCTATACATTTTGTCACTCTTGTCTTGCTCCTTGCATTTGCACCTCTACAAGAATTTTGGTGTGCGTTTTCAGTTTCTTTTGTACAACTTCCGTAAACACAGAGACGCTCGCTGCGGTTGACGTCGTCGTGTCTCCAGTTCACATGCGGGACACTTTTGGGCCGTTTAACGTTCACACTGGAGTCACATAAAAGTCGCATTTAAATGGAAATGAACGACCTCGCAAAAACATCGGATTTCACACACAAAAAAAAAATCCGAATTGAGCGTTAAGCCCTGCAGTCTGAACGTAGCCAAAGGTGACGTGTAGCTCAGTGTTTTTATGTGCATTGTCCCTGATGATAAATAAACTAATAAACTAAACTAACTTCAACCATCCTGTTTTATCGTTTTATCACAGCGACGTCCGAAGGAAAACTGGACCTCGAGGCGCTCAAAGAAAAAGTGAAAAAGGCCAAAACCAAAAAACTGGGCGCTCCTCCAGTGAAGCCGACTCCTGACAGCTCCTCCACCGCCTCCACAGACAAGAAGAACAAGAAGAAACACAAAAGCGTAACGTAACGTGCCGACTCCGATGAGCGCCGGAGCCGGACTGAACTGTGAAACACGAGACTGCGGTTTGGGACAATGACGGGAGACACAACGGGAACATTCTGGAAAACTTCACCCGGACACAAACCGACGGACACGAGGATTCTGATGTTTTTATTTTGTTCTGTAAAGAATCAGTAAAGTTGTTTTCAAAGTGTCTGATGAGGATCTGGTCTTATGAGGATCTACAGTGTCTGTTTTCTGTTTTTAATGGGCACATCACTCGTTCTTTACTCGCTTTATCATAAATATTTCACTTTTTCTAACTTAAAGCTGAAGTGTGTAACTCTGTGGAGGTGGCACGTCACCTGCTCGACTCCAGGCAAACACAAAGGTAAAACCACACCATAACTTTCTCTCTCGCTCAGAATGGACGTATAACCTTCTTCTCTTCTCTTCTTTCTTTTTTTTGTGATCAAATTTTTATTCAAGTGTTATTATTTGCAGTTATACATATTCCAGTTAGCATTGCATTTACCCCCCTTTTAAACCCCCAACCCTCCCACCCTTAAACTCCCTATTGATGGGCATCAGCATATATATGTACACACTCATATACATATATAATACATATATAATACATATATACAGCATCTAAATAAACACACATACCCATATACACATATTATAGTATATATGTTATATATACATACACATGTATATACACTTTCACACACACAGACACAAAAAAACAAAAAAAAAACACACATCCAGGTTTATATTCCCTCTATACAAAACACATCAGCTGAAATTGCTTTATACTTGTTATGTACCATACGTAGAAAGTTAACTGAAAGTATATACATATTGTGTACACTCTAAAAGCATATATTATAATGAAAAATCTCCAGGTAACTCTTCTCTTCTTTCTTCTCTCTTTTTTCTTTTCTCTCTCCTCTCTTCTGTCTTCTCTCTCTCTGAATTGACCCCTAACTTTCTCTTCTCTTCTCTCTCTTCTTTCTCTTCTCTTCTCTTTCGTCTCTCCTCTCTTCTGTCTCCTCTTTTCTCTTCTCTTTCCTCTCACCTCTGTCCTCTCTTCTTTTGTCTTCTCTCCTCTCTTCTCTCTCCTATTTTCTCTCTCCTTTTCTTTTCTCCTCTCCTTTCTTCTCTCTCTTCTCTTCTGTCTTCTCTCTCTCTGAATTGACCCCTAACTTTCTTTTCTCCTCTCTTCTCTCTCCTTTCTTCTCTTTCCTCTCTTCTTTCTCTTCTCTTCTCTTTCCTCTCTCCTCTCTTCTGTCTCCTCTTTTCTCTCCTTTCTTTTCTCCTCTTCTTCTCTCTTTTCTCTTCTTTCCTCTCACCTCTGTCCTCTCTTCTCTCTTCTTTTGTCTATTTTCTCTCTCCTTTTCTTTTCTCCTCCTTTCTTTTCTCCTCTTCTTTCTCCTCTCTCTCCCCTCTCCTCTTCTTTCTCCTCTCCTCTCTTCTCTCTTCTTTCTTCTCTCCTCTCTCTTCTCCTCTCTCCCCTCTTCGCTCTCTTCTTTTCTCTCTTTTCTCTTCTCTCTCCTCTCTTCTGTCTTCTCTTTCCTCTCCTCTCTTCTCTCTCCTTTCTCCTGACTTTTCTCTTCTTTCTTCTCTTCTCTCTTCTCTCTCTTGAAACCGACCCATAACTTTCTCTCTCTTTTTCTAGGAATTTCGTTCTTTCCCAAATAAAATCCAACATCACTGATCTGAATTTACAAAAATAATTTATTAGCAGCAAAACACATTTACAATCAAACGAAAGCGTCGATATAAAAATAATTATCCAAAAGTTTTCATCCAGAAATCACCACACACGATTTTATTCATTAGTTTTCATTCATAAATAATCAGTGCAAATAAATCTACAAAAAAATCATAGAAGCACATTTTATATAATTTATTTAACCCGTAAATCGACATAAAGACACTACGACAAGCTGCTTAATTCTACGATTAAAGGAGCTGTACCTGATTTTACTGTCTTAAAAATGTGAAAAACAGAATTAGTTCATTGTAAAAAACAATACGTGTTATTCGTTTTTCAATATAAAACCAAAAATAAGAAAATGAAAAAAATATGATTATATATCATTATTGGTCTCCAAAACCAAAATGAAAAAACTGATGATGATTATTATTTTATTTTATTTTATTTTTTCAGTTTTTCGATTTTGTGTTTAAATGAAAAATGGACAAAAAACAGATAACGGACTGAACCAGGACTGAACCAGGACTGAACCAGGACTGAACCAGGACTGAACCAGGACTAAAACTGGACTAAAACTGGACTAAAACTGGACTGAACCAGGACTGAACCAGGACTGAACCTGGACTAAAACTGGACTAAAACTGGACTAAAACTGGACTAAAACTGGACTAAAACTGGACTGAACCAGGACTGAACCAGGACTGAACCAGGACTGAACCAGGACTAAACTGTTTTCAGTCCTGGTCTCTTCCCAGTCTCGGTCCTGGTCTGGTCCCTGTCTCAATCATGATCTGGTCCTAGTCTCGGTTCTGGTCTGGTCTCGGTCTTAGTCCCGGTCTCAATTAGAGTCTGGTCCTGGTCTCAGTCCTGGTCTCAGTCCCGGTCTCAGTCCCGGTCTGGACCCGGTTTCAGTTCCGGTCTCAGTCCTGGTCCTGTTCCTGGTCTCAATCACAGTCTGGTCCCAGTCTGGTCCCGGCCTCAGTCGTGGTCTCGGTCCTGGTTTGGTCCTGGTCTAAGTCCTGGTCTCAGTCCCAGTCTGGTTCCGGTCTGGTCCCGGACCTGTTTTAGTTCTGGTTTAGTCCTAGTTCAGTCCGGCATCACAGTTTAAGTCACGTAAACGGGAAAGGGTCGTTATCCTTTTTTTTTTTTTTTTTCCATTTTTCATTTAAACACAAAATCGAAAACTGAAAAAACTAATCACTATCTGTTTTTTCATTTTGGTTTTGGAGACAAATAATGAAGAAATTTTAATTTTTTTAATTTCTTATTTTTTGGTTTTATATTGAAAAATGAATGAATGAACAACACATGGATTGTAAACAGTTTGCGATTCTCCAAAGTTCTTCATTATTTCCCTTCTGCGTTCAGAGCGTCCGAATTATTCGCCACGATGAGTTTATAAGCACTTCTCAAAACAAAAACAAAACCTTGAAATACAAATCCTTCTTTTCAAATTTAAAACTACATTATGTTCTTCTGACATTATTTACATACATTTAAAAGAATCAACTTGGAGTAAAAGTGCTTTTGTAGTCGGTTTCCAGAAGTAAACTTTTATGGACGATCATTTGTTCCATCAGAGTTTGAATTTTAAATACCACGGAATTTCTCACTTTGAATTTTTTTAATCTGAAAAAAAAGATGTAAGGCAAGTTTATTTGTATAGCACAATTCGTACACAAAGTAATTCAAAGTGCTTTACAATTTACTGAATGAATTTTAGTTGCTGAAATTTTAAGTATATTTTTTCATCGATATGTTTCAAATTCAAAATAAAAATGTCGTCTTTTATATTTATCAGATATTTTCAGGCTCTCAAGTTCAAAAGTCAAAATTCGGAGCGTAAAATTCGCTGTAAAAAATTTCACCACAAAAATCCGAGATGTTAAGGCAGAAGCAATCGATCCTGTGTGCGCGAGGAGGAGGACAGAGGCTGTTTCCTATTGGCCGTTCTCATTTGTGGGCGGGGTTTGAGGTTTTGATGAGGATAATTCTGACCAATCAGATCGCTTCACCGCACCGTTTCCTGCTCGTTACTAAGTTGGATCGAATCACTCTGGATCGATCGTTTCACTCTGAATTTTGACTGTTGAATTTGAGGGCTTGAAAATATTTGTGCTGAAGATTTAAATTTAAAATACTGAACTGAATTTTAAACACACTGAAAATGTACACGTAAAATTTCAGCAACTAAAATTCAGAATAAAAATAATTCAAACATGTTTTCTCATAGACTAAAAAAATATATATACATTAAGAGTTCAAAAATATCGTGAATGTGCATTTGCCAAATTACTTACTTTACTTTGTTATAAACCAGTGTTTTAGTTGCAGTTAAGCTTTTTGAAACCTGTTGAAAAGGCTGAGGTTTTTTTTTTTTTTTTTTTTTTAACATGTTTATAGTTTTGAGCTGAACACAAATATACATAAAAATTAAAAAAGATGGAAAAAATATCATTAGTTCCTTTTTGTTGTTCAACCCAAATCTTTATCTGAAGATTTACTAGAAATCTCAAAATCTGTGTGAAGTACTTTTACTTTGTACTCTTAAAGTACATTTTGACGTGTGTACTTTTATACTTTTACTTCAGATTTTTCGATGTGATACTTTCAACACATTTAAAACAAAATGATAGATCTTGAGGTCATTGGCTGGTCTGATTCATCAGACGGTTTCACTTCGTGGTTTCACTTTGTGGAAACTGTGTGACCTCACAGTATTAAGATTCGTTCGCTCGATAGTAGGTGGGTACTTTTTTTTATTTGACCAATCGTTGCTGTTTGGTCGTAGGAAGAAGGACAATAAAGTCTTATCCCTTGATAAAATTCACCAAACATTCTCTTTGTTCCAGTTTTAAATCCTCAATCTCAGGAATCATTGACAACACAGAATGTTTGTCTCTTCACTGATTGGTTGGTGCCCGAACTCACACTTCTGGGGTTTTTGCAAATTGTTTAGTGCACAGGTGTCAAACATATGGCCCGGGGGCCAGATCCAGCCCTCCAAGACCTTTAATCTGGCCCTCGGCTGATTTTCTACTAAAATATATTAATTATATTTTCTATTAAAATCTTGTTAATTTTCTGTGGTGTTTATCACAGCAGCGTCTCCAGCGTCTCTGTACGTGGCCCCTCCCACCAGAGCAGCACAAATGAAGACTTGTCTCTTTCCAAACGCTCTTAAAGGACGATCGTTTTGACTGTTGACCGTGACACCCTCATCACAAAAATGTCCAACATGAGAAAAGTGGAGCCGAGTGCAGGATTTTACAACAAAAACTGACTTATTCCTGTTTGCAAACAAGTTCATGTTAAAACGTTGTGTTGAAATTGCATTTTTCTTAAAGTTTCAGGTTCTTAATAATATAATATTTTGTAAAAGAAAGAGTTCATCAATTTAAAAAATATTTCTGTAATACATTTGCGTTTTTCTGCACAAATATTTGAACTTATTTTTATTTTTGGGGTTTATATGACATGAGTTTTCTGATCCGGCCCCTTTGGGATCAAAGTACGTTGGATATGGCCCCCGGAACAAAATGAGTTTGACACTCCTGGTTTAGTGGATTCTGATTCCTGATCTAGTCGCTGGAGAGAAATGAAATTGAGCAGAGGCACTTGGCGACTCCTGTCTGGTTGGTCATTCGCTGATCAGCCCTGAGATTTCAAACTTTCATTTTTTGTTTCAGAAAGTCTAAGAGAAAAACTAATAAGAAATGTACTTCTGGAACCAGGAGGCAGGAGGTCACTAGAGAGCATCATTTGCCCAACTTTTTGAAACATTTTTGAAAATCAATCTGTACCTAGTATCAATTTTTTACACCTTCCAAAGTAAACTTCTGTGAGAAATTTCATTAAATTCTCTTGATGTTTACTGGGTCCATCAAGTCTCTGAAGTTTCGTGCCTGCAGGAAACTTAAATCTGAGCTGAAAAATCTGTTTTTCTTTGCTATTATTTTTTTTATTTTATTTTGAAAAACAAATGATACAAGGATTCTGAGGATTGATTTTGGACACATTTGTAGTTGATTCAGTTGTTTCTGTTGCACAAAATCAAGCACATATTTTTATCAAAATCACTACATCTGTAACTTTATACATTTGTGCAAAATACTTTTACTATTTACTCCTGAAATACATTTTTAAACAAGTACTTAATACTTTTACTTGAGCATTTTTTTTCTTTCTTTTTGTTTGTTTGTTTTTGTTTTTCTTTAATAACATTCTTATACTTTCTGGAAATTTACCACCAAACCCTGAGCCGTACGTGTCGTTGTGACGCTCTGGTGACGTCACACTCACTTACTCCACTTTTTATACAGTTTATGATTGTTTCGCACATTGATTTGGATCATTAGTTGTTTTTGTTCCCTTTTGTAGTAAGTTGTAATTAGTCCTTTTTGTGTATTTTTGTTGATGGTTTACTTTTGTGCGGCTGTGCGGAACCTAGAAATACAGCTGTTTGCCCGTGGCGCCCTGCTCCGCCCCGCCCACCTGGCGCGCTCCAGACTCCGTGCACGCGCCCTGACGGTGGCCTCGCCCCTGTCAGACAGGTGCAGGGTGGGCTCCATGTGGCCTTCATTAGCCATTAGTAGTGATGGTCAAATGGTCTGGTTCTGGGTCGGATCCTCAGGCTCTCCGGACCGGACCTCCTTCAAGAACTGGTCCCAGTCCGGCCTCTGCAGCGGGAGCTCGATCTGGAAGTGGTTCCAAAACCTGAGAACACCAAAGTCCAAAGTTACAGGTCAGATCTGCGGAGAGGCCACCTGCTCACGGTTTGGTTTTGAAGGTATTTTCTATTTGCAGTAAAATGTCCCAGCGAGAAGTTTCAGGCCGTACTGTCGAACGTTCACTGAAAAACAATAACATCACCATGGAGACAAGCAGGTGGCAGATCCTCCACCAGAAAAGTTACACAGTGTGGCTTTAAAGGTACAGTCTGTAACTATTCTGGTGGAGGGTCCGCTACCTGGTCCCCGAAGGTTTGACCTGTGATAATTCCAACATTTCTGGACCAATTGTCACCAAATTTGTTACGTGGGTCAAGCTCCCATGCCCGATGCCATAAAAAAAAGTTTGGTGATGATCCAAGGTCATTTGAGGTCACACGGGTCAATTGAAAGGTCACGCTGTTATAAAGGATAAAAGCAATTTCTGAACCATTCGTTTTCAGGACTGATCCAGGTCCGGGACCAGAGCGGACCCCAGGCTTCGAGCTCCAGCCCTGCCGTGGGCTCTGAGTTTCCAGTCTGGTCCCGGTCTGGTCCTGGTCTGGTCTCGGTCTCAGTCCCGCTCTAGTGGCGGTCTGCTCTCAGTCTCGGTCTGGTCCCAGTCTCAGTTCTGATCTGAGTCTTGGTCTGGTCTCGGTCTGGTCCCGGTCTCAGTTCTGATGTCAGTCTCGGTCTTGTCCCGGTCTGGTCCTGGTCTCAGTTCTGGTCTCAGTCTCGGTCTGGTCTCGGTCTGGTCCCGGTCTCAGTTCTGGTCTCAGTCTCGGTCAGGTAGCGGTCTGGTCCCGGTCTCAGTTCTGGTCTCAGTCTCGGTCTGGTCTCGGTCTAGTCCCGGTCTCAGTTCTTGTCTCAGTCTCGGTCAGGTAGCGGTCTGGCCCCGGTCTCAGTTCTGGTCTCAGTCTCGGTCAGGTAGCGGTCTGGTCCCGGTCTCAGTTCTGGTCTCAGTCTCAGTCTGGTCCCGGTTTGGTTCCAGACCTGGTTCAGTCCTGGTTCAGTCCTGGTTCAGTCCGGGAAACGGCCGTTATCCGTTTTTTTTCTCCATTTTTCATTTAAACAAAAAATCGAAAACTGAAAAAAACTAATTATTATCTGTTTTTTTTCATTTTGGTTAATGAAGAAAATTGTTTTTTTTTTTTTCGTTTTCTTATTTTTGGTTTTATATTGAAAAACGAATGAACAAATGACAGATTAATCTGGGCTGGACTCCTCATAAACTGTTCCTGTGCTGATGAACTGAACCACCGACGCCTCATTGGGACCAGGTTGTTATTTCTGATTGAGCTTGTTTAATTCTGAATTAAATGTTCTGAATTAAAATATTAGTTATCTAGTTTTCATGGAAATAATCATTCTGAATTGAGGTTTACATGGAAACACGTTAAGTGGCGTTAATAAGATTAAGTGAGATTCAGGAGCTCGACCGCACCTCAACCTCCTGAACGACCGGAATTATTTTTAAGAAGAATAAATGTTTACATGATCGAGGAATAAACCGGCCACTTACTCTGGATTAAATTTAATTCTGAATAATCCTTTTCATTACGAATTAAGTGTTTACATGATCTTTTTCTTTTTAAAGCGGAATAAATTTTTATTCAGAATTAAATCTCTCATGTAAACGTGGCAGCTGTGGCGCTTCATTTAACTATCTCCATGGAAATGAGCAGGACACATCACCAGACCAAGTTACAGGTCAGATCTGTGGAGACGTGGGCGGCGCACAGTCATAATGCATGTCTTAGTGGAATTTTGAGAAATAAAAAAAAGTCCTGTAATGGAATAAATCAAGATATATATTTAACAGGCCTGTGTAAGATACATCTCTCCACCAGAAAAGTTACACAGTGCAGCTTTACGTAGTGAAATGTGAGGCAGTAGTTACTTGTGGTGGTAGACGTCGGGGTCTCTGCTGATCCTGTTCTGAAACCCGATGTACAGGTCGTCCCACAGGCGTCCGTTTAGAACCACCCAGCGCATCACGCCAACGCGGTTTTTCAACTGAACACAGAAAAGAAACGATTTTATAAGAATGGACGTTTACAAAATTAATGATGTTATAATTTGGTGTTTTGGTTCCAGTAAAAATGTAGGTATCTGTACTTTACTTAAGTACATTTTAAAGGGGATATTTTTTACTTTTACTTCACATTTGAGAGCAGTTGTCTGTACTTTCTACACCACATTATTTTATTATTTTTTTAATTTTATTTATTTTATTTTATTTTATTTTTTACTTTACTTTACTTTACTTTACTTTACTTTACTTTACTTTACTTTACTTTACTTTACTTTACTTTACTTTACTTTACTTTACTTTACTTTACTTTACTTTACTATTATTTATTTATTTATTTATTTAAGGACAACAGAATATAACATTTAAAAAGTACAACAATCAACATTTAACAAATTACAATAATCAACCTAAAACAAAACACAAAAACATAAAGCAACACACACAACAAATACAAAACAACAACAAAAAAAAGCAAAAAAAGCCCCCATTTTCCCCCTGACCACAAACACCCACACAGATTTGGCTACATTAAAACTCTCTTTTGTACTTTTTTTTTTTTTTTCCTCTCACATTTTTAAATAAATATTTTTAGTCCCTATACTTCAACTAATATTATTTTCACCATCATCATTTCCTTTCATCATTTTTTGCTATTTATGACAAACTCAAAACACGTTTTTTAACAGGACTGAAAAGTAAATGTATTTTTAATAAAGTTTTGGACCTGCTGAGGGTTTATTTTAACACTTTTGTAGTAGGTTTCAGCAAAAATGTACAAATAAAAACAGCTAGAAAAAAAAACTAAATAAAAACAATTAATTCAGGTTTCTGTTGAACATAATTCAGCACGAATTGCAAAATACTTTTTTCTTTTCTTTTTTTTAAAAGTTTTTTTTACTCTTTACAAATAATTGTAGGCTACTCAGCACAATGTTAGATTAAACCACGATGACTTCATTTTTTTAAATTCAGATTTTAAAAAATTGTTGAAGACTTTTAACACTTCTCTGAGTTTGTGACGATGTTCTAACAGTAACAGTAACATCAGTAACTTAAGCAAAGTTCTAGTTTGACAAATGATAAATCCTGATGTGAAGCCACATATTAAAACATTTGTGTGTCTGTAAATTGAATTAAATGAACCTAATGTAAACAATCTAAGATTTATAACGAGATATAACCAGCCCACGTGAAATATCGACAAGATTTAGGCGATTTATGGCCCGACCGATATATCAGTTGGCCAATATTATCGGCCGATATGGGCTCTTGGAAACATATCGGCTGATAATATTGGCCAACCGATATATCGGTCGGGCCCTGGTTTTGACAAAGAAGAAGTTTGCTGTTTTTACCCAGAGGTGGAAGGTAACAAAATAAAAGTAATAAAGTACAGTACTTAAATAATTTGTTTTAGGTATCTGTACTTTACTTAGGTAGATAGGTGAGTACTTCTACTTCACTACATCAGGTATCTGTACTTTCTACTACAATTTTGAACAGGACTGAAAAGTAAAGTCATTTTTATTGTAGTTTGAGATCTGTTGTATTTTTAACACATTCATAATCTGAGCAAAAAAAAAAAGAAAATAAAAATGGCTAAAAAAAGTAAACCGAAACAACATATTCAACTGTAAACCAGGTTTAGTCCTGGTTTAGTCCTGAATTAGTTCTAGTTTAATCCTGGTTTAATCCTGGTTTAATCCTGGTTCAGTCTGGGTTTAGATCTGGTTTTGCCCTGATTTAGTTCTGGTTTAGTCCTTGTTTGGTCTTGTTTTAGTCCTTATTCAGTCCTGTTTTAGTCCTGTTTTAGTCCTGGTTTATTCCTGTTTTAGTCCTGTTTTAGTCCTGGTTTAGATCTGGTTTATTCCTGGTTTAGTCCTGTTTTAGTCCTTGTTTAGTTTTAGTCCTGGTTTAGTCCTTTCTTCTAATACTGTTATTACTAGAACTTGACTTTTTGTTTGTTGAACAAAATTCATCACTAAACTGTATCAAAATCACATCTGACCTCAAAATCTGTGCAAAATACTTCTACTTTTTACCATTTAACCCTCTGAGACCCAAGCATTCATTTCCTGGATGAAATTTTTTTTTACCTTGTTTAACATGTTTGTACTAAGCCTCTATACAGAAAATAATTAGTTTTTTCTTTTTTTCTTTTTTTGAGGAATCTGTATGTTGCAAAATGCAACATTGGGCTTTAGTGGTAACAAATATACAAACTTCACATTTAATAAAAGCCAACTTTGTATTAGTTATTGCTCACTCAATAAAATTAAAACATATTTTAAATGAATAAATTTAATTGAAAAAAAAAACAAACAAAAAAAATATTTTTTAATACAGAACAGCACTAAGTACGGTATGGCCCCATAGTTGATTGATGCCTTGTAACCTTTTCCAGTGCTTTGCTTTCATTACTTTGTGGACAACCTCAGTGTTAGGGATGAACAGAAGCAAGACAAAGTTTGGAAGATTCCATGGTCTGGTTAGACCTAGCAGGGTTACCCTGCACACTACCTTGTTCACATCGAAGTCACAGAGTATGCTGGAGATTCCTGTTCTTGCCCAGATCTTAAAGCCCCAGGAATGGGGTTTACCACGCATATATTGCCTGATTCCACTGAACCTTCCTTGAAGGAATCATCATTTCATCAATGGAGTTAGTTTTGGCCATCCTGGCTTGTCAAAGCCTGATCTCGTCAGATCTCAGAAGCTAAGAATGGCCGGGCCTGATTAGTACTTGGATGGGAGACACTGTGAATTCCAGGTGCCACAGTGGGGCGCCAGTGCAAAAACCCATCGTTGTGTTTAGGCAAGACACTTCACCCACAAAGTGGTGTGTGCAGTGGAGGTCAGACGGGCAGGCGGCGCCGATTAGCCTCCAGGGCAGCTGTGGTACAGTAGTAGTTTCTGAGTATGGAGTGAATGAATAATGAACTGTAAAGCACTTTTTGGAAAGGCGCTATTAAATCAATGCAATGATTAATTAATTAATAAATAATAGTAAATAAAAAATGTATTAATTATGCTTTTCTAGCACTATCTTTAGAAACTTCTCCCTGAAGGACTTCAACCTAGCCAAATCTTCCAAAGTTTGTCTTGTTTCTTAACACTGTGGTTATCCACAATGTGAAGGATGAAAGCAGCACAGGAGACAGTTTCACTAACACTGTCCTCTGATTCTATTTCAAAATTACAATTTTATATAGTACACAACTATAAACACACACGCATTCTATTGGCTCAACACTCAGGGGTGAATTCTCTGTGTAAAAAGGGCACCCTTTTAACCCAGTGTTGCGTTTTTGCAACATTTACTTAAATCACTCTAACTCATATGTAGTATACTTTTTTAAAAATATATTTAACTTTTCTAACACTAAACATGTTAAGAATGAAAGAAAAAAATATCACAGATTGTTTACTTAGTTATACAATTGTTAAAATGTACAGAAAAAAGCTGGGTGGTCAGTAGAAGGCAGCCCTGTCGTTTGACTTTGGAATGATTTCCCTCAAAAGTGTAATAAATCAGATGTTGGGTGCTGGTAATGCACTTTTGTTACATTCAGTCAATTACTACTTTTATTCCATTTAAGTACATTTTTAAACAGGTACTTTAATACTTTTACGTGAACAGTTTTTTTTTTTCATGTGGTACTTTTACTTTTACTCGAGTACTTGTTCCTCAGCTGTTCTCACCTCTAAATAGGAGTGTTCTCTGGAGGGTCTTTGCGCGGGAAAACTGAGATCACTGAAGTCCACCAGGTAATCGTAACCTCCAGGGAACGGCCCGAAGTCCTCGTCGCTCTCGATCACCTTCAGCACAAACACAAAAACTCAAACACAAACACACAAACATCAACCAAAAATGTTGAAATGAATCAGATTTGAACAATCCTACAACAGTAAACGTGTAAGAAAGTAGATCTGCAGTGAAACACGACAGCACCAACCACAAGACAGAAAAGCAGATCAGGTTTGAGAGGTCGACAGGTTTCACAATGACGATAAAAAAGTCCTTAAAATAATGCCCACAACAGGAAGATCAAACCCACGAACAGAGACAGAGGAAGTTACAGGAGCCCTCACCAAATATGTTTCACAGTGTGACATTAAACAAAACTACCTTATATTTATTCCATTACAGGTGGTTTAAAAGAAAAAAAAAAAAAAAAAACTAGAACAAATGCACTCTAGTAGTAGTTGTAGTAGGGCCCGGTCAAGCAGAAGTAAACAGCAATTCAAGTTCATGCATCTGATATAAAAATGTATTGAACAGATACATATGTACTCTAGTTTATGAAACTGTTGACCTTTTTTCTGTACCATTTTTGGTTGTAAAGTTCCATATGTTTTAAACAGACCATGTATGAAACATGGAACAAAAATTATTTCCCAAATTTCAAAGACCCAAAAATCATGTAAATAAATGGATGTATTTCATCATATCTTGTGTTATTCCATCTTTGAACTGTTGATGAAGGGACATGATTTAAAAAAAAAAAAAAGTATTTAAAATGATAAAAATTTGCTTGGAAGGACTGACATATTTTATAGAAATAGTTTCCTTTTATTTTGAAGTAATATTAAAGTATTCAGAAGAAAAAAGTGACAAATGATGTAAAATCCTGCACCTTCTACTTGTTTGTACAATTTTCCCTCCGTTACTTTTCCCTCCGTTACCATGACCTTTCTTAATAAAAAATCTCATGAGTCAAAAAGTCAGAGGTTTTTCAACCTAATCTTGTACCATATGGTAGAAAACTATATGAAGCAAATATTCAAACCAGTTTGTTAAGGATATGTAAGTGAGAACCAAGAGTTATCACTGTTTGGATTTATTGCCCAAAAAGTGCTGCATATTTCATTCCCTCCGTTACCGACATGAAGTTTTTTAATTTTTTGTCAACAACTTGAAAGAATATCACAGGTTTAACTTGACCCTGTTGGAGTGTAACTCTTTCCTACATTCTGATACTTTACTTATTTCAATAGTTCCTCTAGTTTCTGAATAAGAGACATTTGAATGTCAAAAATCTGACCCTGTTTCCCTCTGTTACCACTTGAACAGACCCATGTATCTGATCTTTTAATGACAGTCTGAACGACACAGATCTGATTTTTTCAAATGTGACCCAGGACACTTGGATATGTGCTCCTGAAACTGATACATATCTGATCTTTTGACATGTGACTTCAGTCTGAACGGCCAAAGTGCATTCATCCACCTACACGTTATCAACAAGACACAAACGTCACTATTTCTGCGCTGAAGTAGGTGAAAATTGTTAATGAACTCCGTGTCACTGAAGTGAAGCACACTCACCACTCTTGGCTCCGTCTCCACATCCACACGTTCCTTTCAACGGACTGAACCACAAAACCCCACGACCAAAAACCTCGTCCTTCTCCTTCTCAATCTCCTCCTTAAAACAAATAAGTTGTTCATGTTCTGGCTCCGGTACGAGAGGAACTTTACAAGTCACACACAAATCACATTTAATTGGAAATGTGAACGACCTCGCAAAAACATCGGATTTCCTAAAAAAATCATAATTGAGCATTAAGCCCTGCAGTCTGAACTAGGAATGGGCATGATTAATCGATAATTGATCATTAAGAATTTCATCGATTATGTTCATTTTAATGGACAAACTGAATGTATGTTTGTGTGTGTATCGTGACCAAACAGGTGTGTACATGTGTCTCTGCATCAGAAGGAGCGAGACACAAACAGTGGGTCAGTCTGTAACGAACCGAAGCACAAATGTGGATTTAACGATGATTTGTACAAGAAATTCCACACTTTCCGTTGCGTTCGGGACAAGTGTGAGTCCATGTGCACAGTGTATAAAGCAGCACATATGTTTCTGTGTCCAGTGGGAAAAAGTTTTTCCAGGTGAGAGTCGCTCAATGTGGATGACGAGGCCCCGCCCCCCTCCCCCCGTACGCTGTCCTGGTTTTGACAAACACAAATCTGGTCACACTAACCTGTATTCACCTGAGTCATGTCTTTTAATCCAACAGAAGTTGAACCACATCAGCGACACAAGAGCTGGAGTTTTATCTTCTCTTAGTTTATGTAAATTAGTGATGTGGTTTTAAGTTTTGTTTCTGTGAGATTTGAACAAAACTGAATTAAACACATTATAATGTCAAACGGGCTGATGTGGCTCTAGAGTCGTTACAGTTTATATGTCGTAAAGTTGAATTTATTTATGCAGATTAGTAGTGCAGATAGAAATAATAATGATGATCATTTTAATATAAAAACTTTAATGATTAATCAATAATGGATTGTTAATTCTTCCGGCGATCGATTAAGAAAATTTCATTGAATGCCCATCCCTAATCTGAACGTTGCCTTATTCTCCGGTGCGACTTATATATTAAAATGTTTGAGTGAAGTGTGGAGAGGTTCTAGTCTTGTGTGTGAGTATCTGCTGCTCCTGTTCCTCCTGTACCACTGTCACTTGGCTCTACTGCACATGTCTCCTGCAGAAAAAGCCTCTGTCCTGCTGCAAGTCGTGAAATATTCAGCCGAAAACGATAATCGAGCAGCAGAAAGAAAGTTTGGAGTGAGTGAGAAACTTGTGAGGGACTAGAGGAAAGCGGAGATGGAGAACACAACTTCACGGGAACCAGGAGGATGCACCATGAAACTTTCCTGAAGACACTGGATGGATGGACAAAGTCTGGACTTCAGTGACACCGAAACCATCCTGTCGGGATTCAGAAAGACCCGAATAATTCTAACTGGAACTGATGCTGAGTCTGACGACAGCGACACAGAAGAGGAAGCGGCGCTCTGTTTACCTCCGGAGGTCGTGGAGTTGTTCAGAAGTGACACAGAGGATGAAGAATTGAATGGATTTAGTGATTTGGAGTGAGATGGAGAGTTTGTTAAACTTGTTCTGTTCTGTTGTTTATGTTATAGTTTATCTGAAGAACTGTTCATATGTGACGTTAACAGTCTGTTGTTCTCTCTTCTATTGTTTTTACTACAACTTGACTTTACACAGGAAATGTCAGTTCCTGAAATAACCTCAAAAAGTGCAACTTATATATGTTTTTTTCTTCTTCATTACGCATTTTTGGGTGGTGTGACTCGTACTTCGGAGCAACTTACAGTCCGAAAAAAACTGAAAATGGTGCGGGGAAACAGCAACATATACATTTTTCATAATCGGTCAGTCCAATATTACGCAAAAATGCCAAACAGACCTGGAGTCGTGTTTTGTTTCGTTTACATGTTTGAGTAACTCTTTATTATTAGTCTGTCTACATCTCCAAAGCTCCAAATGCTCTGTTCCACCTTGTGATGTCATGAAGCTGTAGGTTTCAAGTTGACAGCTACATTTAACTTTTTGTTTAGTAGAAATGAACAATTCCAAGGCTGAAATTATCCAAATTATTGTAGTGAAGGTGTGTGGAGTTTAAAAACAGTAAAGTAGAAGCAGAAACCCCAAGTATTTACTGCGCCTGAAGAAAGACTGGAATAAAGAAAATCAGAAACTCCATTCGAAGTGCATTGAGAAATAAAAGCCAGCGGAAAGTGAAAAGTGGGCTCTGTCAGCAGAAGTTTGAGAGAGGGGGAGTTTTGTTATATTTGTTCATCGTTACCCTGACGACCAGATTGTAGTCGCGGAATCCAGCCCACGTGTAGTAGAAGCGGATCCACTCGGGGTAACGGAAAATGTGTGCGCCGATGGCCTCGTTCTGCTCGTTCACGTACGGCTCCATGTCCCAGCTGTCCTTGTACTCTTTAGTACCAGCCGGAGGGACGTGCACTGCTCCACTGTCAAGGTCCATGTGGGAAAGGAAACAGGGATTAAGCAACGTGGAGGAGCAGCGGCTCTACTCCGAGCTCCTCCCGTGTGACTGAGCTCCTCACCCTTTCTCTAAGGAAGCGCCCAGACGCCCTGCGGAGGAAACAGGGGTCGACCAAATAACAGCGATTGGTTAAATAAAATAAGTACCCGCCTACTGCGAGTGAACGAATCCTAATGCTGCGAGGTCACACGGACTGTACAAAGTGAAACCGGCTGATGAATCAGACTAGGGGATGAGCGCTCACTGTTTAGAACAGGGGAGTCAAACTCATTTTCACCAAGGGCCACATTTGGATCATGTTTGTCATCAAAGGTCCGGTTCTAAAGTTAAGACTGCAACTGTAACTGTAATATCAATATGTTATAAAACTGTAAAAGTCTGTATTTGTTTTTCATTTCATATTTATTCATTTTGTTTATTTTTATGTTTATTTTATTTTTTTTTAACCTTTTTATTACTTACTGGCATTCTTGCTCTTATTTATTTGCCTGGTTTTATTATCTTAATGTGGACTAGTAGAGTTAAGTAGAGATTTACTTTCTGTATTGTACAGCATTTGGGAAACTGTTTTGTTTATGAAATGTGCTATAGAAATAAAGTGGATTGGATTTATTTATTTCTTTTCTTGGACATTTTGGGGAAATTTGATGAGTTTACGGGAAACAACTGCAGTGCAATCTGGGAGATGTAGTAGCGAAACAGGGTCACAACATAATAATAAATTATACCTGTTAACCCCCTTGTGGGCCACACAAAATGACTTGGTGGGCCAGATGTGGCCCGCGGGCCTTGACTTTGCCACATGTGGTTTAGAACATCAAATATTGGATATTTTCTTCAAAAGTGCAGTGTGTCACTTTTCCTGCTTGTTTCCATGAAGATGTTTTGCTTTGCCTGGAATGTTTCACACTATGGCATTAAAGGGATAGTTTGGATTTTTTGACATAAATCTGTTTGTCAGAAAATCCATGTTCAGGTCGTGTTACAAATTGTTACAAATGAAATTGTATTTCAAGTTTTAAATATTTTAAAAAGTAAATATTAAAAGTAATAAATATATTAAACCCTTAAAATACAGTGAAAATGTTTGAGGAAATAATGATTTGGGTGGAAAAGTCTGTCCTAAGTGTAACAGGGTTTATAATCGTCTGATTTTCAGGCAACAACTTGCAAAATGTTCAGTAATTCGAGCTCTACAACCTTCAGGTTCAGGTTCAGTCCTGGTTCAGTCTTTGGTTCAGTCCTGGTTTAGTCCTCGATTCAGTCCTCGGTTTAGTCCTGGTTCAGTCCTGGTTCAGTCCTGGTTTAGTCCTGGTTCAGTCTTTGGTTCAGTCCTGGTTCAGTTCTGGTTTAGTCCTGGTTCAGTCTTTAGTTCAGTCCTGGTTCAGTCCTTAGTTCAGTCCTGGTTCAGTCCTGGTTCAGTCCTGGTTCAGTCCTTAGTTCAGTCCTGGTTCAGTCCTCAGTTCAGTCCTTGTTCAGTCCTGGTTCAGTCCTGGTTCAGTCCTTGGTTCAGTCCTGTTCAGTCCTGTTCAGTCCTGGTTCAGTCCTCAGTCCTTGTTCAGTCCTGTTCAGTCCTGGTTCAGTCCTGGTTCAGTCCTGGTTCAGTCAGTCCTGGTTCAGTCTGGTTCAGTCCTGGTTCAGTCCTGGTTCAGTCCTGGTTCAGTCCTGGTTTAGTCCTGGTTCAGTTCAGTCCTGGTTCAGTCTTTGGTTCAGTTCAGTCCTGGTTCAGTCCTGGTTCAGTCCTGGTTCAGTCCTGGTTCAGTACCTGTCTGTGGGGTCCAGTCTCAGGGCCAGTCCCAGGTCTAGTACGGCTCCCGGCAGTGGGGTCCAGGTCCGGACTTCTGGGGCTTGTTTGTTGATGAGGTCGTTCAGGGCGCTGGCCGAGTTCTTCGTGTTGGTTTCTTTTATGTATCTGTGAAAATGACAACAGTCGGGTTTGAGATTTCAGACACAAAATACAAAATAAAATAAACGCCAACGGACTTTTGGACTGGAAAACGAGGTCAAACGTAAACAGACTTTTGACTGGAAATAAAAACTTTGGATTGGAGACCACAGGAGACCAGAGTCCTGCACCGGGACAACACCGGGTACAAACAGGTGCTGGAACGGGCGGGTTTTAACGTTCTGGAATTTTCCGGGCGGGTTTTGATCACACACAGGCGGGCGGCTCAGGCGAATCCAATGATGTGATCCGAGTCCAGAGCTTCCGTTGCCGTGGAAACAAGAGCCAATTCCAGGTCTTATCCAGGAACAATGGACCAGACTGAGAGAGACTTTAGTGTTTTTATTGGTTGGTTAAGTCCTGGTTTAGACCTGGTTTAGTCTTGGGTTAGTCCTCGTTTAGACCTTGTTTAGATCTGGCTTAGACCTGGTTGGTCCTGGTCCTGGTTTAGTCCTGGTTTAGACCTGGTTTAGTCCTGGTTTGGACCTGGTTTGGACCTGGTTTAGTCCTGGTTTAGTCCTGGTTTAGTCCTGGTTTAGGACCTGGTTTAGTCCTGGTTTAGTCCTGGTTTTGGTTTAGTCCTGGTTTAGTCCTGGTTTAGTCCTGGTTTAGTCCTGGTTTAGACCTGGTTTAGTCCTGGTTTAGTCCTGGTTTAGTCCTGGGTTTTCCACCTGGTTTAGAACCTGGTTTAGTCCTGGTTAGTCCTGGTTTAGACCTGGTTTAGTCCTGGTTTTGGTTTACCTGGTTTAGTCCTGGTTTAGTCCTGGTTTTAGTCCTGGTTTAGTCCTGGTTTAGTTTGGTTTCCTGGTTTAGTCCTGGTTTAGTCCTGGTTTACCCTGGTTTAGTCCTGGTTTAGTCCTGGTTAGTCCTGGTTTGGAGTCCTGGTTTAGTCCTGGTTTCCTGGACCTGGTTTAGTCCTGGTTTAGTCCTGGTTTTTGGTCCTGGTTTAGTCCTGGTTTGGACCTGGTTTAGTTCCTGGTTTAGTCCTGGTTTTTGGAGTCCTGTCCTGGTTTAGTCCTGGTTTAGTCCTGGTTTTGGACCTCCTGGTTTAGTCCTGGTTTCCTGGGTCCTGGTTTAGTCCTGGTTTAGTCCTGGTTTGGAGACCTGGTTTGGACCTGGTTTAGTCCTGGTTTGGACCTGGCAACATGAATTGAACTTTATTACATTATTTGCATCCTGAGCTCTGGATCTTTACATTTTACTGACCAGTTGGTTAATGTTGAACCTGACCAGTATTTTGTATCAAACTTTGACTTCAACAATAAAGTCTAGTTTTCTTTTTTTTTTATTTAACATGGAAAGTTCTTCTTAGATTAAAGGTCCCGTATTGTGTGTGTACATTTTCTGATTTACAAGGTGGAACAAAGCATTTTGAATTATGTTATTAGGTTCTTTTTTTACGGAAGCCGAGAGGGGTCGCAACAAACGCAAACGCCGCAACAAATACAAATGCCACAACACAACAAAAAGCCACAACAAACCAAAAAAAAGCCACAACGGAAATGACCGCGGGGACTCAAATTTAATGCAAACGTCGCAATAAATACAAATGCCACAACACAAACGCAAAAGCCACAACACATTAAAAAGCCACAACACAAAAAAGCCACACATAGTCCTTGGTTTGGACCTGGTTTAGTCCTGGTTCAGTCCTGGTTTAGTCCTGGTTTAGACCTGGTTTAGTCCTGGTTTAGACCTGGTTTAGTCCTGGTTTAGTCCTGGTTTGGACCTGGTTTAGTCCTGGTTTAGTCCTGGTTTAGTCCTGGTTTAGACCTGGTTTAGTCCTGGTTTAGTCCTGGTTTAGACCTGGTTTAGACCTGGTTTAGTCCTGGTTTAGTCCTGGTTTAGTCCTGGTTTAGTCCTGGTCCTGGTTTAGTCCTGGTTTAGTCCTGGTTTGGACCTGGTTTAGTCCTGGTTTAGTCCTGGTTTAGTCCTGGTTTAGACCTGGTTTAGTCCTGGTTTTAGTCCTGGTTTGGACCTGGTTTAGTCCTGGTTTAGTCCTGGTTTAGACCTGGTTTAGTCCTGGTTTAGTCCTGGTTTAGACCTGGTTTAGTCCTGGTTTAGACCTGGTTTAGTCCTGGTTTAGTCCTGGTTTTGGACCTGGTTTAGTCCTGGTTTTAGACCTGGTTTAGTCCTGGTTTGGACCTGGTTTAGTCCTGGTTTGGACCTGGTTTAGTCCTGGTTTAGTCCTGGTTTGGACCTGGTTTAGTCCTGGTTTAGACCTGGTTTAGTCCTGGTTTAGTCCTGGTTTAGTCCTGGTTTAGTCCTGGGTTTAGTCCTGGTTTAGTCCTGGTTTAGACCTGGTTTTAGTCCTGGTTTACCTGGTTTGACCTGGTTTAGACCTGGTTTAGTCCTGGTTTAGTCCTGGTTTAGACCTGGTTTAGTCCTGGTTTAGTCCTGGTTTAGTCCTGGTTTAGACCTGGTTTAGTCCTGGTTTGGACCTGGTTTAGTCCTGGTTTGGACCTGGTTTAGTCCTGGTTTAGTCCTGGTTTGGACCTGGTTTAGTCCTGGTTTGGACCTGGTTTAGACCTGGTTTAGTCCTGGTTTAGTCCTGGTTTAGTCCTGGTTTGGACCTGGTTTGGACCTGGTTTAGTCCTGGTTTAGTCCTGGTTTAGACCTGGTTTAGTCCTGGTTTGGACCTGGCAACATGAATTGAACTTTATTACATTATTTGCATCCTGAGCTCTGGATCTTTACATTTTACTGACCAGTTGGTTAATGTTGAACCTGACCAGTATTTTGTATCAAACTTTGACTTCAACAATAAAGTCTAGTTTTCTTTTTTTTAATTTAACATGGAAAGTTCTTCTTAGATTAAAGGTCCCGTATTGTGTGTGTACATTTTCTGATTTACAAGGTGGAACAAAGCATTTTGAATTATGTTATTAGGTTCTTTTTTTACGGAAGTCGAGAGGGGTCGCAACAAACGCAAACGCCGCAACAAATACAAATGCCACAACACAACAAAAAGCCACAACAAACCAAAAAAAAGCCACAACGGAATGACCGCGGGGACTCAAATTTAATGCAAACGTCGCAATAAATACAAATGCCACAACACAAATCACAAACGCAAAATCAAAAGCCACAACACATCAAAAAGACAAACGGAATGACGGGGACTCAAATTTAATGCAAACGTCGCAATAAATACAAATGCCACAACACAAACGCAAAAGCCACAACACATTAAAAAGCCAAACACATCAAAAAGCACAACACACAAAAAGCCACAACACAACAAAAAGCCACAACGGAAGTGACCGCGGGGACTCAAATTTAATGCAAACGTCGCAATAAATACAAATGCCACAACACAAATGCAAAAGCCACAACACATTAAAAAGCCACAACACAACAAAAAGCCACAAGGGAAGTGACCACAGGACTCTATTTTCCGATGGACCGATCAAGCGGCAAGTGAAGAAGAACTACAACGTGAAAAGTAAAGGAAGGGAGAAGTTGGAAACGTAAGTAAAAGTTATTTATTGTTTTATCATTATTCATTTCACGTTGTGTTGTGTTGATGTGTTGTGGCTTTTTCTGATCATTTGCACATCCAAAAAGTGAAGAAGATGTTAGGAAAGTCCATGAAAACTTTACCTGTCAGAGGGATGAGCCTCCACAAAGTACCCAGCGAAGGGGCAGTAGACTCTGGGCTGCAGTGTCTTCACCAGAGACGCCTTGTAGTTCAACAGCTTCTTTCTCTCGTTCTTCACAAACTCGGCCTTCCACGAGTCTGAGGAGAAGATTTAAGAGTTTTGAGTTTTATAAGTGCGTTTTCTTCTACACTAATAATAATTCTAGTTTCTAACCTGTGTATTTTCCTCCGTAGAAGGTCATGGGGAAGCCCGACGCTCCCCCGGCGAAGTCGCTCATCATCAGGGCCACGTTCTGAGGGAGCCGGCCCCCGTTTGGTCTGGTGCAGTCCACCGTGTTCAGGATCATGTGACCTAAAACACACAGGCACAGTCTACGAACAGGCTAATCACTCAACTTTTCTGGTGGAGACTTATATATTAAAATGATGACAGTGAAGCGTTGAGAGGTTCTAGTCTTGTGTGTGAGTATCTGCTGCTCCTGTTCCTCCTGTACCACTGTCACTGTCTCTACTGCACATGTCTCCTGCAGAAAGAGCCTCTGTCCTGCAGAAAGTCATGAAATATTCAGCTGAAAACTGTAATCGAGCAGCGGAAAGGAAGTTTGGAGTGAGCGAGAAACTAGTGAGGGACTGGAGGAAAGTGGGGATGGAGAACACAACTTCACGGTAACCGGGAGGATGCATCATGAAACTTTCCTGAAGTCACTGGATGGATGGACAAAGCCTGGACTTCAGTGACACAGAAACCATCCTGTCGGGATTCAGAAAGACCAGAATAATTCTAACTGGAACTGATGCTGAGTCTGACGACAGCGACACAGAAGAGAGAAGCGTCGCTCTGTTTACCTCCGGAGGTCGTGGAGTTGTTCAGAAGTGACACCGAGGAAGAAGAATTGAATGGATTTAGTGATTTGGAGTGAGATGGAGAGTTTGTTAAACTTGTTCTGTTCTGTTGTTTATGTTATAGTTTATCTGAAGAACTGTTCATATGTGACGTTAACAGTCTGTTGTTCTCTCTTCTATTGTTTTTACTACAACTTGATTTTACACAGGAAATGTCGGTTCCTGGTCTCTGATTTTATAAAATATATTTCCCCCAAAAAGTGTGACATATGTTTTTTTCATCTTCATTATGCATTTTTTGGCTGGAGCGACTTATACTCCACAGCAATTTATAGTCCAAAAAATACGGTAATTCCTTTTTAATTTGTTCTGTTTTTCTTTGTATATTTTTGTTTGTTTGTGCTCAAACTACAAATGTGTTAAAAATGAACCCTCAGCCTTTTCAGCAGATTTTATTTCAGTCCTGTTCAAAAATGTGGTGAGGTAGAAAGTACAGATACAGTACAGAGATCTAAGCAAAATACAGATACCTGAACATTTTTAAGTATTTTCCTACTTTTACTTCATTACATTCCACCAATGCAGAGTCTACTCAGAGATCAGGAGTCAAACCCACAACCTCCTCACGAAACAGCAGCCTCAACACTAATGATGAGTCACTATAGATCAGGGGAGTCAAACTCAAATTCACAGAGGCCAAAATTAAAAACTGGGACAAAGTCGAGGGCCAAACTAAATATTATTGAAAAAATTCAACAACATCTGCATGTTTTCTCTTCTTTCGAGATATGTTATGTTAAACCTTTTCTTATTAAAATAATTTTTAATAATAGTTTTGCTTAAACATTGAATCCAGAACAAGCAGAATATAAAATAGCAATATTTTAAATAAATAATGTTTCTATAGTCTGTAGGCGGTGGGCAGCTCTAATACAGAGTTGATATAATCTCGCGTGCCAAATGTAATTATATCGCGGGACAAGTTTGACATGTCTGCTATTAAAGATATAATTATACTTTATTTACCTTTGTACTGGACGATGATGCAGGTGTCCATTTCAGGGTGAACTCCGTCCATCAAAATCATGAAACGCAAATGTTCGTTTACCTACATCACACAGACAAGAGACGGTTTAACTTTTCACTTTTTACAAACACTAAAGGGCAAATATTACACTGTTTCCTGATCTATGTTTTACAGTTTTTCTCTGTTGGTTTGGCTCATTTCTTGAAACAAAAGGACATTCTATAAGCTACACTATAAGATCATTTGGTCAAACAGTGTGACAGTTCTGAGCAACGTTACAGGTCACCAGCAAAAGCTCAAATTTCTCCCAAAACACTTTACCCATGTGTCAAAACTAAACTCCTTTCTCATATAAATAGTCAATGCCTCCAAAATGCATCGTCCCTTTGGCATTATGTTCGCCTGATTCATCAGCTGGTTTCAGTTTGTGGAAACCGTCTGACCTCGCAGCATTAGGATTTGTTTGTTTGACAGTAGGCAGGTACTTTTTTTATTTAACCAATCGCTGCTGTTTGGTCGTGACGTATGTAATGCACCAAATCCCGTAGGAAATTCACCAAACATTCTCTTTGTTCCGGCTTTAAATCCTCGATCTCGGGAATTGTTGCCAACACAGAATATTTATCTCTTCACTGATTTGTACAGAACCATTTGCAAAGATGCTCGGAGACACTTGAGACTAGGGACGGGCATTCGATTAAATTTTCTTTATCAATCGTCGAGAGAATTAACGATCGATTATCAATTAATCTTTAACGTTTCTATATTAAAATAATCATCATTATTACTATCTGCACTAATCTGCATAAATAAATTCAACTTTACGACATATAAACCGTAACGACTCTAGAGCCACATCAGCCCGTTTGACATTATAATGTGTTTAATTCAGTTTTGTGCAACTCTCACAGAAACAAATCATTTGCATAAACTAAGCGAAGAAAATAAAAACAGCTCTTGTGTCGCTGATGCAGTTCAACTTGACTGGACTGAAGGACATGACTCAGGTGAATACAGGTTAGTGTGACCAGATTTGTGTTTGTCAAAACCAGGACACCGTACGGGGGGAGGGGGGTGGGGACTCGTCATCGACATCGAGCGACTCTCACCTGGTAAAACTTTTTCATGTTTTCTGTGTCCTGGTGAACTTTTTCCCACTGGACACCGAAACATATGTGCTGCTTTATACACTGTGCACATGGACTCACACTTGTCCCGACCGGAACGTAAAGTGTGGAAATTCTTGTACAAATCATCATTAAATCCACATTTGTGCTTTGGTACGTTACAGACTGACCCACTGTTTGTGTCTCGCTCCTTCTGATGCAGAGACACATGTACACACCTGTTTGGTCACGATACACACAACAACCTACATTCAGTTTGTCGATTAAAATGAACGTAATCGATGAAATTCTTAACGATCAATTATCGATTAATTGACTAATCACGCCCATTCCTAGGAGAGAGATGAAACTGAGCGGAGACAAATTTTAAAATGTACCCGCCTACCATCGAGTGAACGAATCCTAATGCTGCGAGGTCAGACAGTTTCCACGAAGTGAAACCGGCCGATGAATCAAGTTAGACTTGTACAGAACCACTTGAGACATGCACTAAGACATGTGCAATTTGATGAAATCAGTGAGAAATGCCATTCTGTTGTGAACGACTGCGAGATGGTTTGGGGATTTGACCGTGTTGTTTTGAGAATGTAATTTCTGTTTGAAGAAATGAGCCGAACCAGTGGAGAAAAACCTCATCACAAACAGATCTGGAGTTGTGTTTTGTTTCATTCACACATGTTTTGGTTGAGTTTGCCGATCTCTACTGGACAAAAGACAAAATGTAGTAGAAGTTCACTTGAAAACTACCACTTCATGACATCACAAGGTGGAGCAGAGCATTTGGAGCTTTGGAGATGTAGACAGACTATAATAAAGTGTTACTCAAACATGTGTGACTGAAACAAAACACAACTCCAGGTTTGTTATTGAGGAGGAACAACATTATAACATGACTTAAACCTCATAAGAGTCAGTTTTGTGTAATATAGGACATTTAAAGGAGCACTATGTAACTTTTCGAGTGGAGGTAAGAGCCACCTAGATAGATAAATGTAATGCCTTTCTGTGGAGCATCCCGGGCGAAGCAAAAACATCTCCATGGAGACAAGCAGGTAGCGGCTCCTCCACGAGAAACGTTACACAGTGCTGCTTTAAAATTCATGGACTTACGTTTTGCCAGACGCCAAAAGGAACCACGTTGATGTTGATCAGTTTCACTTGACTTTGCTCCAAATACCTGCAACATAACAGAGACAGTGAGTGTGTTTACAGCACATCAGTGTCCCGGGTACGATCGGGTTTTTTCAGTGTCCCGGTTTCTTCATGGTGCATGTAAACGCAGTATCCCGGTTATTAGAAACCAGGATACTGTAGCTGGTTTATTCCGATAGTAACCGGGACACTATGACATGCGACATGAAATTGAGTGTTCATGCGTTCAAAAAATACTTTCCAGTCTTTTCACTGCAACAGTAGCGACATAAATAAAGTGACCAGCATAAATAAAGTGACCTGATATGAATAAAGTGACAGACATGAATAAAGTGACCGACATAAACAAAGTGACCAAACCTGGGACCTGCCTGCTGTGAGGAGAGTGCTTCTCCATCTGTCTCTTGATCTTACTAAAGTGGGACTTAGCCCTCACTCTTCCCTTTACTCCTCCTCTCACACTTACAGTTTTTAAGCTTGTGTAGGGTGAAGTACTTGGACTGAGGCCGTGGCTCCAGTGCAGGTGGATCTCGTCCTGCACGAGCGTAAAAACTGCAACTTTTGGACACAAAATTTTTAGAATGTATTGAAAGTGATCCATCCTATTTTTGGAGGCTCTACGTGAGTGTAGGGGAGGATCCCCAACAAAATACACACTCAGAGCATCTATTGTTGTATTTGTGTTTGCCATCAGCAGTGTGCTCCCAGGGCAGGGGTGTGTCGTATGAGTCAGGGCCTGAAAGGGCCAGAAACACTGTTCATTAGTGCTTTATTAGTGTAATTATTGGTCATTTGCATATGAATTTTTCAAAAAATAAATTACAGTGTTTTCATTAGTAAAAGTAAATTACAGTAATTACAGCACTGTACTTTTTTTAAAATATCACAGGTAAATTACAATAATTACAGTAATAAAGCACTGATCAGGCGTTGTGTTGGCATGCGGCGGTGGTTTACTGAGGTTATGTGTGTAAACGTTGGCAGGGCCTAAGGGCCTGGCTCCACTATTCCCATCAAATACACACAGAATATTTGTGCAGTGGAGCCAGGGCCTTAGTCCGAGAGCAGCTGAACCACATCAGCGAGCGAACTGTTTTTCTCAGAGCTTATAGTTTATGAAAATGAGTCGTGGTTTTAAGTTTCGTTCCTGTAAAACATAAACAGAAGTGTCAAAGCTGCATTAAACACATTATAATGTCAAACGGGCTGATGTGGTTCGAGTGTGTTTATGGTTTATATGTCGAGTTTATAAAGTTGAGTTTATTTATGCAGAAGATTTTAATCTGGGCACTAGTCCAACTGGGGACAGGTCTAAAACAGCAATACCCTCTCCAGTTATTATAGACGGGTGGTGTTTAGTCCCACTTGAAGTTCTGATGTTGATTTAGACCTGGTGTGGTACTAGTCATGACCAAAGAAAGTCTGGATTACATTCATTTTCATGTAATTGTTCCTTTGCTCAGAGTCTCGGGGCTAAAACTCACTGAGTGAGAAAAGTAAAATAATAAAATAAACTGACCAGAACACAGGTCTGGACGTGTCCCCGACGTATATGGGCATGTCCGGTCTCCTCTCGGACAGGACTTTAAGAGTGGGATAACTGCAAGAACAAAAGAGCACAGGCTGAGAGGAGGAGGAGGCTGATCGCTGTGCCACAGGTACCTGAGATGGTCTGAGTGCATGTGGCTGATGTAGATGAGGTCGGCTCCACACAGACGCTCTCTCCAGTCTGCAGGAGGTTCATGAAGGAGCCACCAGCCCCGAGCGAAGGCAGGGCCCTGTAACCACGGGTCGAACAGGAACGTGCACTGGCCCAGCTTCAGCTCCATGCAGGCGTGGGTCAGGTACGTCACCTACACACAAAAACCTGTTATGATCCTGTTTCAGGTGTGAGTTTTTTGTCTCACACCTGTCAGAACACACTGTGTCAGACACACTGTGTCACATGTGTCAGCACACACGTCACACACTGTGTCAGACGCACACCTGTGTCAGACGCACACGTGTGTCAGACGCACACCTGTGTCAGACGCACACCTGTGTCAGACACACACATGTGACAGACGCACACATGTCCCTGTCTGATACAGTTTAAACACTGACTTTTATAGTTGCGTGTTACTTGAGACTTTTACAGTCCATACACTCCAACACACGGGACACACGTGTGCGTGGACACACGTGTGCGTGGACACACGTGTGCGTGGACACACATGTGCGTGGACACACGTGTGCGTGACATGACACACGTGTGCGTGGACACACGTGTGCGTGGACGGGACACACGTGTGCGTGGACACACGTGTGCGTGGACACACGTGTGCGTGGACATGGACACACGTGTGCGTGGACACACGTGTGCGTGGACATGGACACACGTGTGCGTGGACATGGACACACGTGTGCGTGGACATGGACACACGTGTGCGTGGACACACGTGTGCGTGGACATGGACACACGTGTGCGTGGACACACGTGTGCGTGGACACTTCAAAAAGGCACAAACCATATAAAAGCCTTTGGCCATTATTTCATATTTGACATTTGCACACAGACAGACGCTGGTTTGGACTCTGAGGAGGAGCTGGTTTTCAGTGGTTTCTGTCTGTTCTCTTCTTCATCACGTCTGTCTCTCTCTTCATCCCCTCGTCTCTCGCTTCCTCTCAAACTGCAAACACCATGGCAATGATTTGATCGTTTCTGTTTAGGGAACATGTACATGGGACTTAAACTCCACACGTGCGACCGCACATCCAGAAGCGGTCGGGCAACTTCAGTCCCCGGGGGCATTAACCAGGCTCCTGGGTCCACACTACACAGCCGCCGCCGCTCTACCTGCAGAGTGACCGGGAGAGGAGGGGGAGCACTGTGGCTCCTCTCGTTTAGTTAGAGGCTCATTTCTGTCGTGGAATGGGTTGAGGCTTAAGCTAAAGTTGGAAGTAGATTCAGCTCAGGATTTCAGGATAAGTCTGGATTTGTAAAGTCACTGATGGAAAACCCCCGAGGTCCAAAATTGTTTTATAAGCTGTTATTGCCTCTAACAGAAGATTTCATCTCCCTCAAATAACCCTCTGGTCATCTGGAGACCCTTGAGGCCATTTTAAAATGTCACCATGATTTTGTATGTCACATGTTCAGTTCAAAGGCTGGAGCTAAAGGGTACATTCGTCATCTTGGGTCCCCTTTTTTAAATGGCCAGAAATTTCACATAGAATCATATTTTTTTCTACTTTCCAAACTCAGATCTCCTCATCTCCTTTCACTTTATTCATACAGGTGCCAACTTTACAAATCTGATGCATCTTTTTTACATTATAGGGATATTTTGTCATAAAAGTATTAAATATCTTTTATATTTCTGCAGTTAGGACAGGGGTGGTACAGACCTGCACCTCTCCAGGCTGCAGCTCCACAGGCTCCCGGGGGTCCAGTAACCAGGGGTCCTCTGGGCACAACTCCACCAGCTGTAAGCCCCCGTCCTCCAGCACCTCCACCTCTGCACCACAACAGGTCAGGCTTCATATGTTTATCATTTCTGACTAGTTTAGTGGGACAGTACCAGAGGAGAGAGTCAGAAGAGCAGAGGAGGAGAGGAGAGGGTCAGAGGAGGAGAGGAGAGGGTCAGAGGAGGAGAGGAGAGGGTCAGAGGAGGAGAGAGAGAGAGGGTCAGAGGAGGAGAGAGGAGAGGGTCAGAGAGGAGAGGGTCAGAGGAGGAGAGGAGAGGGTCAGGAGAGGAGAGGAGAGGGTCAGAGAGGAGAGGGTCAGAGGAGGAGAGGAGAGGGTCAGAGAGGAAGAGAGGAGGAGAGGGTCAGAGGAGGAGAGGGTCAGAGGAGAGAGGAGAGGGTCAGAGAGAGAGGAGAGGGTCAGAGGGAGAGGAGAGGGTCAGAGGAGAGAGAGGAGAGGGTCAGAGAGGAGAGGAGAGAGGAGAGGGTCAGAGAGAGAGAGGGAGAGGAGAGGGTCAGAGGAGAGGAGAGGAGAGGGTCAGAGGAGAGAGGAGAGGGTCAGGAGAGGGTCAGAGGAGGAGAGGAGAGGGTCAGAGGAAGAGAGGAGAGGGTCAGAGGAGGAGAGGAGAGGGTCAGAGGAGGAGAGGAGAGGGTCAGAGGAGGAGAGGGTCAGAGGAGGAGAGGAGAGGGTCAGAGGAGAAGAAGAGGAGGTTTAATGGGACAGTACCTGTGGTCAATATGTATCATAGTTTAACATTAGTTAAAGGTGCATTGTGTAACTTTTGGCTGAAGTGACACAGGGAGTGGGGACCAGACCAATGTCCCTCAGTATGAAAAATACAGAGAGACGTCACTTGTGTTGTCCAAATAATTTCCCTTGTAAATCAATAAAGTTTGTCTAAGTCTAAGTAAGTCTTAGCCTTACACTTAGCGTTAAGAATTAGTATTCGTATTAGAGATAGTATTAGTATTATTATTAGTATTAGTATTAGTATTAGTATTAGTATTAGTATAGTATTAGTATTAGTATAGTATTAGTATTAGTATTAGTATTAGTATTAGTATTAGTATTAGTATTAGTATTAGTATTAGTATTAGTATTAGTATTAGTATTAGTATTATTAGTATTAGTATTAGCAGTGTGCACTCACCCAGCTCGTCCTGCATGAAGCTGTCTGGAGGGTTCACGTACTTCATGGTGGACACGTTGAGTTTCCAGTTGTGTTTGGTGCATTTCACCGTGCTGGAACACAAAGGAAGAGGTTCTTGAATCTTCAGAGACAAAATAACAGGTCCTCCCTACGACAGAACCATCACTAGAAACATTTTAAAATGATCACGATCTGCAGAGACCTGCCGCCCCTTTATAAATCCTCCCGTGGGTGATGGATCCACGGGGGGACGGCCCCACGTCGCTCCTTGGTCCCCAGCCGGGCCCCGTGGGGAAGGCCCGGCCACCAGACGCTTTATGTGGAGCACCCACCTCAGGCCTGGCTCCAGAGTGGAGCAACACCAATCCAGGCGACGTATCTGGCCTTGTTCTATTACTCATCGTGGTGGAAAGTTTTACTCAAACTCCTCCACTTCAAAGTGGCAGTTCAAGGAGAGGAGACTGACGGATCGGTGCAGCGTCGGCAGTGATGTGGTCGCTGTATCAGACTGTTGTGGTGAAGAGGAGCTGAGCCGAAAGGCAAAGCTCTCAATTTACCAGTCAGTCTCACCTCTGGTCATGAGCTCTGGGTAATGACCGAAAGGACGAGATCGCGGAAACAAGCGGCACAAATGAGTTTCCTTCGCAGGGTGGCGGGGCTCGCCCTTAGAGATAGAGTGAGGAGCTCAGTCACACAGGAGGAGCTCAGAGTAGAGCCACTGCTCCTCCACGTCGAGAGGAGCCAGCTGAGAGGACGACATCTGATTCGGAAGCCTCCTGGGCGTCTCCCTTGGGAGGTGTTCTGGGCATGAGGCCCCGGGGAAGACCCAGGACATGCTGGAGGGACTATGTCTCTGAGCTGGCCTGGGAACACCTCGGGGTCCCCCTGATGGAGCTGGAGGAAGTGTCTGGGGTGGAGGAAGTCTGGGAGTCCCTGGTTAGACTGATGCCCCCACGACCCGGCCCCGGGTAAGAGGAAGAAAATGGATGGATGGATTTTAGAAACATGCCACAAATTAAGACAGAGTACAGAGTAAAACAGAGTAAATCTTAAAAAGCAGTAAATAAAAAACATTAGAGTAAATAAAGCTAATGAGGATCTGTATTCAGTCCTCCAATTAAAAATCTGTGTAAAAAAAGCTAGTATAAATGTTAAAAATTGGGCAGCAATCAATAAGTACTTCTTTCTTTTATTAAAGGTGCACTATGTAACTTTTTGGTCGGGGTCTGTTAGCTTTTTTCTATGGAAATGTCACTGCTCTGCCTGGAATGTTCCACAGTATGACATTAAACACATTACCTTACATTTATTCAATTACGGATGGATTTGCTGCTTAAAATACCTGGAAAAACAGACATTCTGACTTCAGTCGCCTCTCACAGATCTGACCTGCAACTTGGCCCGTTTTCTCATGAAGATAGAAAGGTTTAATGCCATACTTGAAACATTCCAGACAAAGCAAGAAATCTACATGGAGAAAAGCATTTGATGGACCCTTCAGAAAAAAGAAAAGTTACACAATTGACCTTGAAGTCGTTTGTGAAGAGTACTGCGATTTAAAATGTACAAATAATTACATAATGATCCAGCGATTATCACCATAACAAACGCAAGCCCAACATGTGTTCTTAAAGCTCATGATTAGTCTTAATTGCAGCTTGTGTTGGTTTTGGCTTCCTGACTGTCTGGGTGTGGAGCTGATAAACACTGTGACCATTGGATAAATTAAGTTTAACCAGTGTCTCATGTTGACTGTCAACTAGGGATGTGCATTCGATGAAATTTTCTTAATCGATCGTCGGAAGAATTAACGATCGATTATCGATTAATCATTAACGTTTTTATATTAAAATGATCATCATTATTATTACTATCTGCACTAATCTGCATAAATAAATTCAACTTTACGACATATAAACCGTAACGACTCTAGAGCCACATCAGCCCGTTTGACATTATAATGTGTTTAATTCAGTTTTGTGCAAATCTCACAGAAACAAAACTTAAAAACCGCATCGCTAACTTTGCATAAACTAAGTGAAGATAAAACTCCAGCTCTTGTGTCGCTGATGTGGTTCAACTTCTGTTGGATTAAAAGACATGACTCAGGTGAATACAGGTCAGTGTGACCAGATTTGTGTTTGTCAAAACCAGGACAGCGTACGGGGGGAGGGGGCGGGGCCTCGTCATCCACATTGAGCGACTCTCACCTGGAAAAACTTTTTCCCACTGGACACAGAAACATATGTGCTGCTTTATCCACTGTGCACATGGACTCACACTTGTCCCGAACGCAACGGAAAGTGTGGAATTTCTTGTACAAATCATTGTTAAACACACATTTGTGCTTCGGTTCGTTACAGACTGACCCACTGTTTGTGTCTCGCTCCTTCTGATGCAGAGACACATGTACACACCTGTTTGGTCACGACACACACAAACATACATTCAGTTTGTCCATTAAAATGAACATAATCGATGAAATTCTTAATGATCAATTATCGATTAATCGACTAATCATGCCCATCCCTACTGTCAACAAAGGTCTGGTTCCTACAGTGAAAGTCTGTCCCTGTGTGTGCATAAAGGCTGATGGAAGCGAGGCTGCCAATCTGCACCATCGGTCCCTCCGACCACCACCATCACTCACACACACTCCACTTTCATACAAGGCAATGTGGGTGAAGTGTCTTGCCTAAAGGCTCGTTCAGACCAAAGCGTCAAAGCGGCCAGTTTATATGTTAGGGGCGTGCAAAAATATCAAACTATCGATATATCGTATCACTTAACTTGATGATACAGAATCGATATCGTGAGGTGCTGTATCGATATATCACCAAGGGTATTTTTTGGTATATTTTACTCTATTATTTTGTTACAGAGCTACAGTTTTGTCGCTTGTTTGGTGGAAGGAAACTTGTTCATGTGACAGATTTGACATTTTCACTGTTTTTATTATTAAAATGTTTGTGTTTCATTTTAACTTTGCACATGAAGTGGTTTAACAAAGACTTTTAGTGTCACAGCAATGATTTAGCCTTTTTTTTATTGAACCGTATTGAATCTATTTGAAATATATCATATCGAACTGAAAGTGCACTGTATCGAGGTATGTATCGTATCGTGGACTATGTATCGAGGTATGTATCGTATCGGCAACTTCTTAAAGATACCCAGCCCTATTATATGTAAAGTCTATGTGGACGCGCGTCTCGAGCGTCCTGCGTTTTTGAGGCGCGTCTTCGGGCGTCAGGGTGGCGCAAATCTGGCGCATTGAGCGTTCTGGCGTTGACGCTCTAGACACGCGTCCTGGGCGTCGGGGTCAGAAGTTGAAAATGCTAAACTAACCCAATCAGGGACGAGTATCCAGAGACGTTATTATCCGGAAGAAAGAGAAAGACCCAAGAACCAAAGCCACAAACATTAGCGGAGTATAAATATATACACCACAACCACGCGGGTGCGGCTCTCCAAAAATGGACCCATGCAGGACTCTGAGCTGAGGTGAAGAATTTATTTTGTTGGTAAATGATGGTGACCAATGAGCTCCTCGGTTTCACATGTGTCACTGAAATTAACAAATCTGATTGGACGATCTTGTTTGGTTCTGGCTCCAGACGGGATGGAGGGAATTGGCAACTCTTATCATAATATTGTTTTCCCAAAAAGTCAAATAGCGTAAAAAAAATAAATCTCACCTTCCTCCTAGATCTTCTATGTCCTTGATGAAGACCCCCCCCTGGTGTTTGCACTGGTTCTTGCAGGCGCGGTACCCCTCCTCACTCTTGTAGATGATGTAACATTTGGCGTCTTGTGGGTTTTTCTTGAAGTTGACTCCGTCTTTGAGCGAATCCACCGCCTCAGAGTCCAAGATCAGGACCACCTTCGCCTTCTGAGGTTCCATGTTCTGAAGGAAAGAGTAAACAAACATGTAAGAGTAAAGTTAAAGTTACTTCAGAATAATATTACTCAATAGGGCCAAACCGATATATAAAACAGTTTAAAAGCTTAGACTCTCCACATTAGGTTAATTTAATCAAATTTAAAGACAGATAAATGTCCCAATATGTGTACAGTATTTATCTGAGGAGTCATTTGTCTGTGTGTGTGTCCGTACTGTCCCTGAACGCACCACCAGAAGTCACGACACTCACGTGTGTTTGTTTACACCCACAGACACAGATCCATGAGATTATATTCTTTACATGGACAATCAGGTTGAGTCTGTATTCAAAGGACATTTATTAGTTCAGACTTGTGATCTGAGAGGAGCCTGTGTGAGCGCTGAGTGTTGGAAATGTTTTGAAGCTACTTTAGGTTCTTATCATTGGTTAGCGATTAGCTGCTGTAACTCCCGCACAGACACAGACTGTTTTCTATTGTCCTACTGTAAAGTGACTTTGATTTGTTACTGGACCTGCGCTGATATGTAAATGAGCTGTGAATAGTGGTGTGAATGATCCACATTTATGCATAGATAGGGTGACCACATGACCGTTTTTCCCCGGACATGTCTGTATTTTGTGTCCTGTCCTGGGCGTCCATTTTTTTTTTTTTATGAAGTGATGCAAATGTCCGGGTTTTCATTACCGTTCATTAAACTGAGCGTCTCTCGTAGCGTCTGTGACTCAGAAGGAGCGAGACACAAACATTCGGTCAGTCTGCAAGATACCGAAGCGCAAAAGCGCATTTAACAATGACTTGTACAAGAAATTCTCCATTTTCCATCCCGGTCGGGACAAATGTGAGTCCATGTGCACAGGTTGTGAAGTGAGAGGACAGTGTCCCTCGATTATCGCGGGAGTTATGTTCTAAAAATAACCTGCGATAAGTAGTCAACTTTATATTTTACAATTACTCTATCTGTTTTAAGGCTGTAAAACCCCTCAGCACAAACTTTATATACTTTTCTCAGACAGGATCGACAGGTGCAACCCTTTTTACTTCCTTCTTAAAACTTATTTCTGCTGTTGTCATGTTATTTTCCTCCTTCTTTATGTAACAAACTGAAGATTCATTTATTCCATAATGGAGCCCAACAGCGCAGAGTCCTGCACTGGTCCATTTTTGGAGACCCCCAGTCCAACACCGCACCTGCCAGTACAGGACCGCACCTGCCCGTTAACCCGAGATTATATCAGACTTTTGCGCTGCCTACGCCACGGACTGAACTAAGACTAAACCAGGACTAACCCAGGACTGATTCCAGGACTGAAGAGGAGGACTAATCCACAACTGAACTAGGACTAAAACAGGACTAAACCAGAACTGAAACAGGACTCACTGTCAGGACGGGCTCAGAGGTGACCACAGGAGAAAGGACAAATTCCGCGAAACCCCCCCCCCCCCCCAATGTGGTTATGGTGGCGCGCACACATTTATGGCTAAATCCTGATAGCAGTAGTTTACTTTCTTTACTTGCAAATAGAATGTGATACAAAAATGGCATTAGTCCAACCTACTGTCTGTAAATATGATGTAAAGAGGCAGAATAACAATAAATGTCGCTTAAATAAACCCAATTTAAAATCCACTAGAGCCAAACCAACAATTCAAGATTTACAGTGAATTTTTACATCACTATATCAGCGATTATATCGGCTGTCGTTCGTGCCCTATTACTCAGTGAGAGTAATGATGATTTTTATGTCTCATCTCAAATGAAGCAGTTATAGAAGTGAATATAGCAACTTTTTCTCCAAACTCCAAGATCAAGCAGAACAGGTGAATCTGACCAAAGTGACGAGGCTCACAGCAGCAGGTACAGAGAGACGCTTCGCCAACACACACACTACAGACGTTGTGTGGGGCCCGCAAACTCATAGCGGCCCCGTTACCTCAGCGACGTTGACGTGGGAACAAAAACAACAAACGGACGACGTAGCGTCCGTCGCACACGTGTGCCTTTATCTGTTTTTGCTGTGGAGTTTTATTTTATTTTTATGCCTACATTAGCACCGCCCTGTAGCCCTCGTCACACGGTACAGAGCCACGGGAATTCTCACTGACCGTGCGACACTGCACATGTATTTCGGCGCTTTGGATGTGTATTTTTTAAAAGTATTAAAAGTGAATGAGGACGTCCACACTTGCAGTTCGACCTGCGTGTGTAGATTTCAGAAAATAGGATCCATCCTATTTTTTGACTCTCTACGTGAATCTTATTTTTTGAGGTGTGTCCACATCAAAACACAGTGTACATGCATGTATTATTATATTTGTGTGTTTATCATCAGCACAACCTGTTCTGTTTTATGTTTATGGCCTTTGCTATTGTTATGGCTAAACAGATGCTGTAGATGACAACAATACACATTCTCCATGGTTCCAGGAATGTGCTTCAAGTCAAGTCAAGTTCAGTTTGTGCATGATGACATTATACTAACTAGAAAAATAATTTTCTCCTCGACGATTCTACCTGGACGACTGAGGGATTCTTCACACATCTAGAGAACCACTACGAGCCAGCTACCGTTGGACTGGTAAGGAAGCTGGAAAAGGACACTAAAAATTTAGCAGAAAAGAGGAATCATTTACGCTTTAACCTTAGGTGTCGACAGAAGCAACTGATTCCCAAGGCTTTGCAGAAGAAAGCACCAGAACCAGGACATAGGGCAGCCAGGTTAACCCAGCGTTACCTGAGGGGGATGCTGAGCCTTAGAATTAGACATCTCAGTTTTGAAATAGAAAACTTACAAAACAGGATAACCTGTTTAGTCCCTCATACTTTAGGACTTCATAGCCACAGGACAGTTAAGACAACACCACAAAACAAAAGACCACATCAGGAAATTTACACAACTCCAAAATCAAAACCAAACTAACCCCAGGGATCGGAGTGACAAAAGGAAGGAGGATGAAACTTTTTTAATACTGTGTCCTAAGTTGTAGATAATGAAGCTATGTAACAAATGCTGAAGTGTATTTCTGAAGTATTAGAGATTAAAAGGAAAAAATAAACAACAACTGTACAGAAACGAAAACCAGGACATTAAACTGTGATACAAACTGAACAGTGAATTTTGTAATCCGTGCCACCCTCACTAATTACTGTAATTTACCTACTTTTGAAATATTTGTACTTTTGCCATGAGTAATCAAATACACGCCTGTTCAAGCTGGTTAGTTTCACTGTGGACCTGTGACAAGTGTCCAAACATGTCAGTCAAGTCTTTCCCATTGAGAAACACAGAGCCTGTGTCCCCGAAGGTTTGATCAGGTTTCATATTCACCCTGTGTCTGTGTGTCAGTTCACCCGCGATAATTCCGCCATTTATGGACCGATTGTCACCAAATTTGGTACGTGGGTCAAGCCCCTGTGCCCGATGCAAAAAAAGTCTGGAGACGATCCAAGGTCATTTGAGGTCACACGGGTCAATTGAACAGTCACCCCATTATAAAAGGACAAAGGCAGTTTCAGCAATTTCTGAACCATCTGCGGCTAAAATATTCACCCAATCATCACACAAGTTGACACACACATAACCGGGGCACAATGGATGTTACAGGTTGAAACCGGTCAAGGTCACTTTAAGGTCAAGGTAACCAAGGTCAAATATGTGTTTTTGGTCATAACTCGGCGAAGGATGGAGCTCGAAGCAACAGGAGTGTCTCATAATGTCAGAAAAATTATCATCTATTTATAATTCTATGCGTTTGTATTGTAAAATATTAATACTTTTCCAGATCATCAGTAATTAAAACAGTTCCTTTCTTTTTCAGTGTTTGCTGTTAAAATTCTAATTGGAACAAAAATAATTTCCATTTCTTGTTTTTCTGGTGAAACACAACACACTGATCTACAGTCACACAACTCACACATACACAACTCACTTTTCGTGACACACTAGTAAACACAGACATTCTCATGTGTGACTAATATCACACAAATGTTCATGGGCCTGTACAGATACACACTTGGCACTGTGGATATAAGGATCATGTGATCTGGGCTGGGCTCCTCATAAACTGCTTCTGTGGTGATGAACTGAACCACTGACGCCTCATGGAGACCAGGTTGTTGTCTTTTAGCAGATAAAACATCTTATTTGAAGACATCCGAGTCTCTACAGAAAATCAAGTAATCCAAAGTATTCAGATTACATTACTCACTACTCACAAGTAATTTAATGAATTACGTTACAAACTACATTTTGGTGTATGTAATCTGTAATCTGTAGGGGATTACATTTTAAAAGTCACCTTCCCAACACTGTTCAGTAAATTTACCTGAGTAACCTGAGAAGTCCCACGTGTGGACAAAAAAGATGGTAACACAAAAGTCTTTAGGCCTCATAAATTTATAATGTGGAAAATGTTAACAACGGGCGGCGTTCAGGTGACAAATGTCTCACCTGAAGTCAACAGACGGGCTTCACACTGCACTGAGCCGCAGGGCAGGGCTCAGTTCTGTAGGATTTTGTTTAACAAAGTGGATGTTTTGACCAGGTTCAGCATTTCTGTATTTACTGTATTTACTGATCCACATGAAACAAAGAGAGATGAAACAGAGCTTATAAAATGCTATCATAGTTTATTTACCTTTATCTTATCAGCATCATTTGTACCTGGGGTGACCTGAGTTTCAAAATCAAAAACTGGGACACTCCCGGTTTGTGGTGGTGAATCGAGTGCACAGTGAAGGAAAACTGTAAAATGCTCGGCCCATGTGAGTCAGTGTAGTTACATTTTCTTTGTGTTTTAGTCATTTTTAAGCAATACATGCATCACAAATTTTTGACTTCCGGTCATGGCGCGATCCATACTGGGAAGGATTTTCCGAAAAAGTGAGCATCAAACCTCCATCTTTGTTTTCCCAGTGGGATGTGTCTATTGTCAAAGTCAATCTTTTCAAGTCTTTTGAACCATATCACTTTTGTTTCTGGTTCTGATATTGTCATATTTTAG